AACTTAGTATTATGCTTCTCTTTTAAAGGCCAACATTCGGCACCATAAAGCATTGCAGGTCTCACTACCATCTTATAGAATTTTCCCTTAAGTTTGAGGGGTACATTTCTATCACATAACAAGCCCGATGCATTCCTCCACTTCAACCATCCAACTTGAATTCTGCTGATAATATCCCCATCTATTTCACCATCACTCTGAGCAATAGATCCAAGATATCTAAAACGTGTACTCTTATTAATGACTTGATCACCCAAAGTCACAATCCCCTCACTAGGTCTATTACTACTAAAATTACACTCCATATATTCTGTTTTAGATCTACTCAAGCGAAAACCTTTAGACTCTCTATATTTCTCCATCAAACCTCTTAATAAATGTATGGCTTCCATAGTCGACCTACCCGGCATGAATCCAAATTGATTTTGAGAAACATTAGTATCACGCCGCAACCTATGCTCCATAACTCGCTCCCATAGTTTTAAAGTATGACACATTAACTTAATACCTCTATAATTCGCACAATCTTGTGCATCACCTTTATTCTTAAAAATAGGAATTAATACACTCATTCTCCACTCATCTGGCATCTTTTTAGTCTTCAAAATAGTATTAAAAAGTTTAGTAAGCCATGAAATTCCTTCATCTCCTAAGCATTTCCACACCTCTATTGGAATATCATCAGGTCCAACAGCTTTTCCACCCTTCATTTTCTTTAAAGCCTCTCTAATTTCAGTTTTACTAATACGCCGATAAAAACATAAATCTTTATTTTCATCTAGGGTGCTAAGGTCACTATAGTCAATCTTATTTTCACACTCTTCATTAAAAAGTTTAGCAAAATATCTCATCCATCTTTGTTGAATATCATCTTCTAAGAAAAGTATTTTTTGATCTTCATCTTTAATACACTTCACTTGAACTAAATCCTTACTACTCCTATCTCTTTGTTTGGCTAACTTATACATATATCTTTCTCCCTCTTTAGTATCTAATCTATTATATAAATCACTAAAAGCTAATGCCTTTGCATCGCATATTGCTTTCTTAGCATCCTTACGAGCCACTTTATATATTTCCCAATTATCAGAATTTTTAAAATTAAACCAGTTTTTATAACAAAGCTTCTTATTTTTAATTTTTTCTTGCACATTAGGATTCCACCACCAACTATTTTTACTATTGGGAGCTTTTCCCTTTGATACTCCAAGGACATCTTTTGCAATATTCTTAATATCACTAGCCACTTTTTCCCACATAATATTAGCATCCTCATGCACAGACAAAATCTTAAGATCTAAAATCTTATTTCCAAAAATATTTTTGTTAATATTCTTTAAATGCCCCCATTTAATTCTAGAAAATTGTTTTACTTTATTTTTTATTTTATGCCCTTTTATCTTAAAGTCCAAAACTAATAATCGATGTTGGGTACATAAATTTTCACTCGGAATAACTTTACAATCTTTGCAATCTAAACGATTTGATTTTCTAATAAGAAAATAGTCAATCTGGGTTGTATTATATCCATTTTTATAAGTGATGAGATGCTCATTCCTTTTCTTAAATAAGGTATTAGCAATTAAAAAATTATAAGCTAAACAAAAATCCAATATGGTCTTGCCACCTTCATTCGTCGTTCCAAATCCATGGCCACCATGAATGCTTTTAAAATCATCTACCTCTCTACCAACATGTCCATTTAAATCTCCTCCAATAAAAACTCTTTCTCTAAGAGGTATATTTTGTATTAATTCTTCTAAGTCATTCCAAAAATTTAATTTAGAACTCATATCCAAACCTACTTGAGGAGCATAAGCACTTATAATATTAACAATCTTATCATCAACAACAATCTTTAAAGCTATAATTCTATCTCCAATCCTATTAATTTTTATAACATTATCCTTTAAACTCTTATCTATAATAACACCTACACCATTTCTAGTACGACTCCTACCCGAATACCAAAGTTTAAATCCTAAACTATCAATTTCCTTAGCCTTATCTCCAACCCATTTAGTTTTCTGAATGCACAAAATATTTAACTTCCTATGAATCATAATATCTATTAATTCCATTAATTTTCCTGTAAGGGAACCTATATTCCAAGTTCCTATCCTAATTTTAGTTTCATGGACTAGCTTCTTTGCCCACATACGTCCTTGATGTGGGAACCCTTGCCTATTTAACACTGCACCCGGGCGCCGGTGCAGCGGCCCTTGCACACTTGTCACTGTATTCAGGCCATACAGCGCGTCGCTTCCAGGGGACGCCCTAGCATTAACACAATTTCTTAAAGGATTCATGTCATTATTGTTCGACAAGTTTTACGCTGGCTGTCGACTACCTAACGCAACCCTCCACTTTTCCCATCTAGGACTTGGGACCTGGCAACGGCAGTGTTAAAGTCTATCAATACAAAGTAAATTTATTGAAATAATGTAAGTGAAGTCTAAGAGAATGATTTCCACAGTGGAATGATCGGCGATCCTTAAAATAGTTCAAATGGAGTAAAAAATTTAGCACACGCATTGGGAAACCATTAATATAGTAAGACAATTGAAAGAAAAGCATATTTAGCATGACTACTTTTGAAGATGATCTAATAATAACATGGCAAGAGTTTAAGCGGAACAAAATGATCTCCAACTAACTGTAAACCATACATAATTTTATGAATAATCTCTAGGTTTGACTGGATTTGAGATCTTCTTTTCAGTGAAGATGAGAGTAAATTGCACCTAATATGTGGGTGGATGTTAATATGGTACTGAATCTTAATAAAAATTAGTGGGAAATTATTATTTTTATTAGTGGAAATTGTTAAACGGGTCAAAATCAGAACAAAGATTTTTTGGGCTGGATTTGGTTGGTTTCCTGTCGGGTCAATAATTGACACCCCTACTTACTACCTTCTCTCTCTTCCCAAAGTAGATTATGCATGCATTATAGATTATAAATGCTTAATACAAGTTAATTTATGCTTGCTTATTCATGCCAATTCATTCAGGTGATGTTTAGAAATAAGGAAATCAAAATATAGAGCTTAACATTTTTGTTTGGATGAACTTCTTAGCATGTGTTTGCCAATGTAGAAATTAAAGATATATTGTGTGATATTCTTTTGTGTTCGTTTGTAGGTTATCACTCTAGCCATCATCATCTTATTTTAGCGTATGCAATAATGTTACTAAACCTAAAAATGTTAAAATAAAATTTGTAATGATATAATCGATGTGGCAAGAGGCTTGCAAGCATGCCATTTCAGACATGTCTAGTAGAGTTTCGTTGTCGACATTCACAACATTGTGAATGGATCCCGCTTGCTACGCATTTAACGCTGCAAGTTGACTCCCATGCCCCCACACTTTCGGGCGTGGTGGGGAGATGCTCATAAGTGATGTTTGCAATGCAATGGATAAACTCATAAGTGACATACTTGTCACTGTGAGGGGAGACGCATGCCTACCTTTACGAGCATGGTGTGTTAAACTTTGTTAGTGGCAAATGTGATGCGAGTGAATATTTTTACCTAACACAATTTCCCTTGCTTACCCTATCATACCCTTCCGAGCATGGTACTATTTGAAATCTCGATGTGGTGTCACCTGGCATCATCTTATCACACCCTCTTAGGCATGTTTATCATCCCCTACGATTCCAAGCTCAAATTTGGGATGATGTAAACAAAATAACTTTGTCCCCTTATATAAGTTCACAAGCGTTTCATTCAACAATATTTAAGCTCCGTTTAGAAAATTTTTGTAATAAAAATTTGTTTTAAAAAGAAGAAAACGATCTCTAACGAAGCCTTAGTGTCTAGAGCTATCATTTATCATAAAAATATTTATAAAAGCATTGACATCACCTACAATGTTTTAAATCTTTAATAAAATTTAAAAATGATGTCATTAAAAATTTTGCTTGATCAAATACAGATATCACTGCATATTAAAATTAAATTTAGGATCATTCGAATTCCAATTTTAATAAAATAATAATCAAATTAAATAGAGAAATCAAATTATACAAAAAAAAAAAATATCAATTTTTAATGAGCCTATATCATGCAGTTGAATTATTGTTGAAAACCTCATTAATTATATTAATCAAAGGATCAAATGATCTTCAAACTTCATAAATTTATAGTCAAATTGAGTATCAAGATGAAATGAATCTAATAAGCTCATTATCCAGATATCATTAGGACCCTCAAATATTTAAATTCTCATTGAATCAATTATGGCACACAGAAATACATAGAGATTTTTTTTTAATGTTAGATATATAAGTAAAAAAAAGGATTATATGCCCATTGTTTTCATTTAATCATGCACAATAAATATCTAGATACTTCGAAAAAGTCTTTCTTTCATTGCGCAAGAGAGAAATAGAATAAGATAAAGAAGCATGAAATAGGATAATCAAAGCTCAAAGCAAATGCAAATCATTTAATCAAAATAAAATGGAGATATTTAAACAAATGCAAGGCTTAAACTAGTCAAATGAGGCAACCAAAAGGCAACTTACTATTCTTTGATGGGATTAAGGCTTCATTTGGGACGGCTTTTTTATTATTTTTTAGAACAATATTATAGTTTAAAAATTAAAAATTTTATACTAAAAAACTACTTTAAGAAGCAGTAAAAAATGTATGTTTAGAAAGGTCCCAAATGAATTCTAAATCATAATGCCATTAGCTTAGCAAAATATCATAAAAAATTATCATTTTTTAATAAGGTTTGTCTAGAAGAATTGCAGCTTCTTTTAAATTAGTTTTGAAGTTGTTATGGAAAAAATAACTTAGCTCTGATTGTAAAAAACAGTTTTCTACCATAAAATTTTCTAAAAAAATAATGAAAAAATATGAAGAAAGCAGTAGTCAAATAAAATTGTGGTTGTTATCTGAAAATTTCTAAAAAGCAATGAATTTCATAAAGAAAGCAATAGTCAAACAAAATTGTGGCTGATGTCTTGAAAATAAAATTACAATAAAGTTACTCCAAATAGGCCCTTAATTATAATATTAATCTCAACATTTATAAATATGATCACAAAACTATTCAGACATGTAGATGCAGTCTTAACTAGCTAATGCTTAAAAAAATTATAAATTGATAGATAATTCCAATCATAGCTTTCTACAACACGATTTTAAAAGCTGTTCAAAACAATCCTCCTTCCAGTAGAGGAAGAGGAAGCAACAGCAGTGTTTCATCTGTGCAAGTTATGCACATCATAGAGGGAAAGAATAAAAGATTTAAATTTCATAAATGAAATCTCTCTCAGATTTAAATTTCACTTGATGAAGTACCTGCATATTCACAAATTATAGGCACCATTGTCATCCTTGTCTTTGGGCAATATAATAAACTGAAGGGAAGCTGTATTGGTGTTTCATCAACTGGTTTCATTGAAGACCATCACCTGTAAGTAGAATGGCCATCATTAATAAGATTGAGGGATATATTTAAAAGATTTGCATGTAATTTTCAGAAAGCAATAAAGAAGTTGCTTTAGAAAGCAACAAAGAAACTGTTTTAGAAAGCAATAAAGAAGCATGTAATTTTAACTAAAAAGTCGTTTTAGAAAGCAACAAAAAAGCTGTCCCAAATAAAATCATAGTCATGGCGAGACAAAATTGCTTATAGAAACACAAAACATAAAAATTGTATCGCACCAGCATTCTTCCTTTTAAGGCCTTAATGGAAGGATCTAAACATGCTTAGGTTTTTGAAAGACATATAGTGCCCATAATCTTTCTACATGTAACACATATTTAACACCAATATTCAAATTACTCTGTACCTCTAAAATCATCAATAACTGATGGATTCACAACAAGTAGAATGTTGCAAAGATCAAGCCAATAATCATGTAGTATGATAAAAGAATAAGAAACATCTTCTTTTTTTGGCTTGCCAAATAGGCAAAGCCAAATAACATGGTAAAATTAAGACCGTTGGGATCATAAACAATCCTTGCGATTCAAAATTTAGCATCTCATCTTAGCCTGTTGGTTGAGAGCTAATGCTTCCAACTAAGAAGATTTGAGTTCGAGTCTTTGTGTATGCGTTGTGTATGAGTTTGCCTTAAATGGCCTAAATGTCCCCAAAAAAAAAAAATTTAGCATCTCATTAGGCTCGTTATTTTGGCAAGTTGAATTTGGCTTGTATAATCAATCTCTAAAGGAATACAAATTAAAAACAACTAAAAAATGTGTCAGAGAAATTGGCAGTGAAGCCACCTTGAGAAGGCAGTCATTGAGGGTACAATTTAATAAAATGTTTTTTATAAATAATTCAATGATTGTCAACCAAAGCCATCTTTATGGAAGAAATAAAATATTTGGGATTTATATAGGAAGATATGATACTACGGGTATTAAATATGAAATTTAATGAAATTTTCATGTCAATACATCAAAAAAATGCATATGCGCAACCAAGATGAAACCAATTACCTTGCTACAGACAGGGCATAGTTCGCTTCTCTCCATCCATTCATATATGCAACCAAGATGAAAATGATGGGAACATTGCAATATGATCCTGGGATTATCAAAAGTATACTCTGCAAACAATAGAAGTAAGCACTTTAATCAGGAACAATGGATAAAAACATATCTTCAAGCTACATGAAGTTCAGAATAGTTCATGTTGATGAAATTTATATTTTACTCTGGTGGAAAGAAACTTGAAACTAACGATTCTTGCATTTCACCTTCAAGACATGTTGGGCACACATCCTCCTCTTCAGATGAAGGAAACATGTATGTTGCCCCACCTGTTATTTCAATCGAGGGATGCTTCAGTGAGGACTCTGAGCAGCACTTTGTGAATTCTCCAGAGTTATAACCACATAACTTGGCTGGTAAGCTTGTCGATTCTATCTTGTCATCCTTCTTAACTCTTCTGAGTTGCTCTGATTCCTCGTCAGAATGAGTTAAAGGCTTGTAATGCCTTCTCTGGGTGAATCTAGGATCATCAAAAGCTAGAGGTCTTGGAAGAGATCGGAATGTGTCAGAAAAAGATTCATCTGTTCTTGGTGCAACAGAAACCAAGGATGATGAAGATGAAGGAGCCGTGTGCCCTTCACGTTGCGATAATAAAGCGTACTGCAGCCATGAGAATAAAACAGCTAAAATCATACTGTTCTACTTTACTAGGGAACAAAAAATCTGTCAGATTTGATATCACCAAAGCATAATATTCATGTTAAACCACTGCGCAGTGTTCATGATTCTTATTATAAGGGAGTCTCAGGATTCACATATGAGTGGTGAAGAAAATGAAAAATCACTCCATTTCTTTTTCTTCCTTCTTTTTATTTTGAAAAGAAAAAAGAAAATTTAAAGTTCTAGTTTGTGTTTTCAGGTTTCGTTGAATAATATTACAACAATTAAATCAACACGTGTTTACCCAAGCAGCAGCAGTACCTACAAATATGACATTGCTTTTCTATGCCAGTAGATTCAATGTAGTGCATACCACATACATGGGACGAAACATACCTAGACCCAACATTTTCTTTTCGTAGAAATAACAAAAACTATCAAAGAAGAATATAGCCCAAAGAATGTCTTACTAATGAATATAATGCAACTTGAGTAACATTGTACTGTGTTGTAAATGCAAGAACATAAACAGGGTACATGTTTTGAGCTTATATAGAAGCAAAAACCCCACTCATTTTTATATCTTTCTTCCGTTGTACCTCAATGAGGCAGGAGTGCGAAGGAAATTTTAAAATCAATTTTCTTTTGATGAAGGTTGCAAATGAATCGCTTATTTTGCTTTCTTTCGCACATAAAGATGATCAAATTTCTCAATGCAGATTTGCATACTTGTGTAGAAATAAGAATGCCCAAACTGAATTTCTTTAACTATGGCCTGCACTTTTTTGTGAATATATTAGTCCACATCCAAGTTTGGTGAAAGCATGCAATGAATATCTCCTACTATGCTAAGCATTATATATTTCTTTGATGAAATGGTACATTTTTTATTGTATTCGCATTGACTAAAGTATGTTTGAGCAGGAAAGCGGTCAGCGCAGAAATAAATTGGCATGCACGTAAAGAAGCAATGCAAATATAAATCAAACACCATCACCATAAGCATATTAAGCTATACATGCATATCAAAGAGAAAGAGGGAGCCAAGAGTATAGGGGGAACGAAAAATGCAGGATCACATATCCAAGAAAGCAATTCTTGGTTAAGTCCGGCCACCTTGCTAGTTTCTAAGATAAAACTACAAAAAGGTTTCTGGACTCCATATAAGTAAGAGAGAGCAGTCTCAAGAATAAAGAAGAAAGAATGGCACCGAAAAGACTGGGGGAATGCAGGTGAAGGAATACATAAAAGCCAATGCTCAGTAAATACATCCCTTGGTTAGGCCTGCAACCTTGCTGGTTACTAGCATAAGAACTATTAGCACTATTAATGCTACTTTGATTAAGTTATAATTTAGATGAGTAGCCTCAAATATAAATATAGTAGTGATTAGTAGCTGTGAGACCTCAAATTTGAAGCAGTTAGAAAATAAACTAATTGCAGAAGAAGTTCATACAATTCTTTTAGAACAAAGAAATTATTCAAGACTTTTGTAGTCATCAAATAATTAAACTAGTAATTCATACAACGAATGAATTTATAGGAGAGCTGAGAAAAATCACATTAATATTACTGAGTCAATTTGGATTTATGTTACAAATATTTACTATCAAGGTCTTTTTTTTAAGTCAATTAGAAAAAAGAAAATAGAGCAACAAAATGATATTTACATATTTTGTAATAATCTTGAAAATGAACAAAGTTGATTATAACAACATTTAATTTGATGGGGCCCTGCTGAGAAAATATGGTTCAAAGGCATGGTACTAAAAAATATGTACATCTGAATAATGCTTCGCATTAGAGATTTTTTTAGAACTATAGAAATAGAATTACGTCAAGGATTAGAATTAAGTTTGCATCTTTTCATACTGGTTAAGATGCCAACAAAAGATATTCAAAGTGACAAATTGAAACACTCTATTTGCATGTGATATTATTTCAGTAGGTGAGACATCTTCTAGATTCAAAGGTGGAACAATGGAGTAAAATTTTAGAAGATAATAGGCAAATATGAAAAATTTTAAAATAAACTCCAAATTCAAAAATTAATGAACATATAAGCAGATTATAAGCCCAAAATCTAATTGACACAAAAAAAACACCAAAGTCTAGTGAAATAAGTGAAGAGTTGGAAACAGCAGTAATGCAAGGGAGATGGAAAATAAGTTAGATGAGGAATTATATGATAGGACTTACATGATTAAAGCATAATGATAATTTCTTTCATATTTTTAGTTAAACAGATAGAAAAGTTGTTTATAATAAGTTTAAATTTAGCAATTAATTAACAAATTAATTTAATGTAAATTATATCATAGGCAAATCACCTACTTAACACCTTCAGTTCAACCATTTGGCATAAGATATTTATTTAAATTGTAGCTATCTTTAGTATTGAATAACTACAACTTATTACTGTACTCTCACTGACAATTTGTAACAATTTCAAAGAACATGTAACAAACATTCATCATTTACTTGTAAAAATTTCACAAAGATTCTACTTGAAAAACACTTTAGACCTTCAGAAAAGATTTTTATTTTGCAACATCATCAACATAAATAAAGTCAATTCCTTTTGCAACTTACCATAAGCATGAACCTCTGAGACAAGAATCGTAGACAGACGCAACGGCCATAGACTGATTCATAGGGGTTCCGATATTCTTCAAAATCCTCAACGCGGAAGCATGAACAAATGGAACCCATACTATACCTTCCAAAAGCAGGCTTCCAGCAATACCGAAAGCCTATGTAATACAGAGAATATAGCACCAACTCCTTCGCTAAATAGCCTGAAACTCCCTCTCCTTAAGAATTCAATCAGTCCAAAAGAAGATTTGTTATGTGAAAGCATCGACCTGTTAAAAAAAGAAGGGATTTTGAAGAAAGAAATCTTCAACGAAAACAATTAAAGGAAAGAAGCGTGACTTAATACTAAAAAAAAGAACCCCCTTTAACACGCAATTAAAAGTTTGCCATTTATCGAACGATGGAAGATAAGAATAGTTGAAGGAAGACATTCGAATCAAAAGAGAAGCAAGAAGACAATCCCGACGGGCGAAAAAAATCATTTTTTTATCCACTGAAGTACTCTTTAAAGAGCAGAATCTTAGCTGCCAAAACCCTACCTGAAAACAGAAACCCTGATTCAAAGTAAGAAGAAGAACAAGAATCAACAAAAAGGCCAAAGGGTGAGACCGAACAATTTATTCTATTTGGAAATTATCAGATTGAAACAGACAGCGGATTCTGCGCTCAACTTAGCTGATTTTTATTTCCATTATAAAAAGTACTTACTAATATGAAACGCGGAAATTTAGTATTTTAAATTATATTTTCAATTTTTTTTTTTTTAAGATCATATTTAATTAAAGGTTTTTATAGAAAAAGTAGTTAAAGATGTTAAAAAAATCTCTTTTTTGTGATACTAATAATTTTTAAAATTTTATTATCAAATATATCATTAATTAAGGTTAACAAACTTAGAATAATCTGAGGTTTGATGAGACGAATTTTTATAAGGCAAAGCAATTAAATGATATAGATTCAAACAAATAAATAAATAAAAGTAGTTAAAGATGTTAAAAAAATCTCTTTTTTGTGATACTAATAATTTTTAAAATTTTATTATCAAATATATCATTAATTAAGGTTAACAAACTTAGAATAATCTGAGGTTTGATGGAACGAATTTTTATAAGGCAAAGCAATTAAATGATATAGATTTAAACAAATGAATAAATAAAAGAATTGGTAGAGATTTATAAATTAGTAAAATTTGAAAGGCAAATATGTAACTACCGTTTTTTTTTTTCCTTTTTCTGCTTTTCTTTCTTTAAAAATTTTTACGTAGCTTTCTGTTTACTTGGTAATCCAACTCTCTTTTCATTGAAATTTTCAAACACTACCTCCTATGCTATTATTAACACGTTGTTAATTAACACTAGCTCTTCTATATAAAGATCAAATAATCAAAAAGGAATCTCTCTCTCTCTCTCTCTCGCTTAATTTCAATGACATTGAGGCATTAAAAACTATAAACAATATTATATATTTAAGAAGATCGAGCAACAAGAAAATTTGGTATAGTGTTTTGATTTATGGTCAAAATAACCTGATTTCTCTCACTAAACAACTGGGCATGAGCATTACTTCTACACAGTTGGGAAGGAGAATGGAATGGTACAAGAAGACAGAATTCAAAACTTTGCTCACCATCAAACACCTGCCATCCGAGCAATGTTGATATCTATCATTATCATCGATACATCCCAAAAAATTGTATTGATTATGCACAAATTTGATGCATATTCAAGCTAATAACTTCTGAAATTAAATTTAGGACCATCTGAACTCCAATTTAAGCATACTTATAGCCTAATTGAATGTCTCGAAGAGACGAACCCAACGACACAAAAATTGGTCCAATATGAGCCCAAATGGGTCCAACTCAGGGGGCCTGAGCATATTGAAAGCTTCAAATCATAAATTGGATGATCAAATTATATCCAAATATAGCATGATTATATTATATCCAAATATAATATGAATATAGTCGAATCGAGCAGCTTGACGAGACGAAGCAAACGAGTCCAAAAAATCTTGATTCTGACATCATTCTGTCACTCAAATGTTTGATGAACGCTCTATAATCGAGGTAATCGATATGAGTCATCTGATTGACCACTTTGAATTTGTCCTAAATCTTCTTCATATTTATGAAGTATGGCACTCTCAAAAATTTATAAACAGACCCTCACTTTCCACATGAAAGGGGATTAGGGCTTGGACCTTTTGCTGGAGGTTAGAGGGAGCTATAAGACTTCATGGATCTAGAGCACTACCCAAGCACCACCACCGACAAAACTTTTGTCGATCGTCATCGAACCACCGTCGACCATCGCCAAACCACCGTCCAACCACCGACCGCCACAGTACTTCTGTCTGACCATCGTTAGATCACCGCCTGGCTGCTGAACTTCATTGGACCACTATTATCTGCCGACCATTACCCCTGCGACCACTATTGCTCGCCGATTATAATCCCTCGACCATCATAGCATGGCGACTATGGTCCCTTCGACCACCATTGTCTGCCGACTATGGTCCCTTTGACATCGTCGGCCTGATGACTACAATCCCTCCAACCAATGCCGCTCATCGACTACAATCCCTCCAACCATCGTCCCCCATCGAGCACTGTCTCTCCAATAATCATCACCCGCCAACTACGATCCCTCTGACTACCGTCTCCCGCAAACTACGATCCCTCTAACCATCGTCCCCAGCTGACTATGGTCCCTCTAAAAATCATTGTCCACCGACTATGATCCATCCGACAACCGTCGCCCATCGACTATGGTCTCTCAGACCACCATCGCTCGCCGACTACAGTCCTCCCGACCACCGTGGCTCAGTGACTACAATCCCTCCAATCATCGTCGCTCATTAACTACAATCCCTCCAACCACCGTCACCCATCGAGAATGGTCTCTCCGACAATCGTCACCCGCAAACTATAGTCCCTCCGAATACCGTTGCCCGCCGACTACAGTCCCTCAGACTACCATTGTCCACCGACTACGATCCGTCCGAACAACATCCCCAGCCAACTATGGTCCCTCTGAAAATCATCACCCATCGACTACTATCCCTCCGACCACCGTCGTCCATCAACTATAGTCCCTCTGACCACGGTTGCCTGCTGACTACAGTCCCTCCAACCATCGTCGCTCATCGACTACGGTCCCTCCAACCACTATAACCTACCGACTATGATCCCTATGACCATCATGTCCTATCCACTATGGTCCCTACAAGCACCGTTGCCCAGTGACTTTGATCCCTTCGACCCCCTTCGCCTTCTGATTACGATTCCTCTGACTATCGTCGTCAGCCGACAATGGTCCCTCTAACCTTCATTGCTCGTTGACCATGATCCCTTCGATCTTCTTCGCCTGCCAACTAAATAAACTGGCCAACATTCTCTTGATTATTGATCTTATCATTGAATTTTTCCAACTCCAACTATGTAGTGTGCTCTATATGATATATTGAGCCAATACCTTTCTTTCGAGGAAGGGCTCCATTTGTAATAAACTACAAATACTAGTGGAATCATTTTAACCAAATCAGACCCCATGTTTTTTCCTTTTGCAGGATTTTCCATATAAAAAACCTTTTGTCTCTTATGAACATTGCACCCCTCTCTTTTATTTTTTTATGGGCTGGATATTCGTACAAAACTAAAACGTAACTTCATCTCTCTCTACCGATGTGAATTTTATAGTCTGCAACAACCATGAAGACCAACACTTATCATTGCCACCAAAGTCGACATCGTTGATGCCAATACCATATTTGTTGTCTCAACTAGTGCTAACGCCCATCGTCAACACTATCAAGAATTCCCATTATCACTGCCAAGGCTAATACTCGCATTCACAATCTTAGGTATCCCCCCTGCATATAAAGAACAATTAACCAATGACATCTTGTCAACAATTCCAAAGCCTCAAAATTCCTCCTACTTCTATTGTTCAAGCCTTTTTCTATCGTTCATATCTATCAAATTATATTAATGGCTTCTTCAATTATAAGTCAATAGTAACCACCAACTATTAGCAAGAACTAAGAGGAAGCTACTTCAGGCATATATGCGTTTCTCATAATGCCAATTTGGGAGAGTTTGGAACCCCCAAAAATTTGTAAAATATTTTTTTAACCATATTTTTATTATTGGAAAGCTCAGGCTTGATTTTTACTTAAGTCAAAATGTTTATTTGTGATTAAGCTAAGCGTCATAAAATTAGTGCATAAAGATTCCTATACGAGCGTTTGAGTAAAAATAAAATTTAATCAGGATGAATTTTAAAGTTATTAAATCTTTAATGAAAATTCATCAAAATTTCTATTAATATTTTAAAATAAATCTAATAATTTTAAGTTGTTTTAATAAAAAAATTAATCCGTAATCCCCATTTATTCTTTTATATTTTTCATTCCTTTTCGGCTTTTGTTGCTTTTGATATGAGAATGGGCCTTAATGGATCCACTAAAAGCCCATCACTAATAAGATTAGACCCAAATGTCTTTCTAAAAAAACGAGCTTAAATGGATTGAGTAATCAGGCTTACACCATTGGCTTCTAGTTCCCAACCTGGACATTAAGGCTTCGTTTGGGACGGCTTTTTCATTGCTTTTCAAAACGGAGTTTTAATACAAAAATAAAAAAAATTGTACTAAAACTCCGTTTTAGAAAGCAATAAAAAAACAGTCCCAAACGAAGCCTAAGGCTTCATTTGGGATGACTTTCTTACTATTTTTTAAAGTAGCTTTTTAGTACAAAAATTAAAATTTTATACTAAAAAATTGTTTTAAGAAGCAGTAAGAAAGCCGTCCCAAACGAAGCCTAAGTGCAAGAAAGCTTTTTAGTATAAAAATTTTCTAATTCAAAAAATTTTGTATTAAAAAACTACTTCATAAATGAGTAAAAAAGCTGTCCCAAATGAAGCCTAAATGCAATTTTAAAATACCCAAAGCTCATTCCTTTGGATTAGTAAATTACTCATCATCAAGCAATTTAATTATACTGATCAAAGGATAGTCACAATAGATTAGAATGATCATTATACAATTAAAATTTATATTGTATTTATTTTAAAATAAATTTGATAGATATTAAATTTTTCATAATAAAAAATTGATCAGTATAAGTACTTGATCTACTGAAGACTCAAACCTGTCATCAAATCTAATCCACAGACTGAAACATTCATGGAAGGAGATAAAGTGAAGAAACTAAATTCTTAGAACAGGTAGAAAGAAAGTGAGGGCTCGTGAGAGTGAGAGCTCATGAGAGTGAGAGAGAAAGAGAGATCTTCCACAATATAACCCATGTGATACCAATCAAACAACTAGATATTTTTCAAGACTTTCGGCCAATCTATAAAGAGTCAATACACAATGTCATGGTTGTCATGTACTAAAGAAGATACTACAAGGAAAAATGAACTGAAAAGACTGTTTAGGGAGATTTTTTTTTTGGTGGGTAAGTTATACACGTTATCTAAAAGAGAGATTATTCTTTGCGGGCACCGGACGGGAAGAACAGTCTGATTTTATCTCTGTGAACAGTAAAAGCACAGCATGAGCAATAAAAGCACTGTTCAATACGCTTTTACTATTCACAGAGACAAATCGGACGGGCAGAACGTCTGTTGTCCATACAGAATAATTCGTCTATCTAAAGTGTACTTTTTTTTTCTTTTGTATTATAAGTCTTAGCTTTAATGTCGTATAAATTTATATGATTAACATGATAAATTTGGTTAATATTTTACAACTTTTCTTAATTAATCTTAGCGTAACACTAATAATTGAGCAACCAAAAAGTTGCAAAGAGAGTGAGATTTAGAGACAAAGTTCTGCCACAATATAACTCAAATGAGATACAAATCAAACAACTAGATCTATCCCCAAAGACTTATGGCCAATCTACAAGGAATCAACCTGATACTTGCTCTTGTTAGCCTAATTCTCCTCACATATCTTCTTTTCAATATCCTTCGATTTCTCAAGAGAGCATGTTGGGATCCAATCAGAATAACAAAGTTAATGGATTCGCAAGGAATCAGAGGCCCCCCTTACAAGTTCTTTCATGGGAGCACATCAGAAGCCAAGAAGTTAATCAAGAAATCCATGAACAAGTCTATGGATTTGTCACATAACATACTCCCTAGAGTCCAGCCTCACCTGCACTCATGGATCAAACTTTATGGTAATTTATTTCATTCGAGAATTATTATCTGCTGATCAAGTTCATGTATTTTCTATTTTACAAGATCAAAGTTTTTAAATTCTGAATCAGGGAGGAATGTTCTTACTTGGTATGGGCCGACGCCGCAGCTGGTAGTGGGAGACATAGAGCTGGTGAAGGAGATTTTGAGAGACAGGGAAGGTGAATTTACAAAGAACGAGCCACCAGAGTTCATGAAGAAGATGTTAGGTAATGGGTTGGTGACTTCCAACGGTCAAAAATGGGTTAAACAGAGAAAGTTGGCTTCTCATGCATTCCGTTCTGAGTACCTCAAGGTTTCTTCTTTTTCCTATTTTCTACTACCACTCTTGTTTAAAGAAAGAAATCTTAATAATATTATTAATTTCAGGAGATGGTTCCAGCTATTGTAGATGCGGTTGAAGCCATGCTACAAAAATGGGTTGAATATGAAGGAAAGGAGATTGATTTCTTCAAAGAATTCTGCATCCTTACATCAGAAATCATTTCAAGGACTGCATTTGGGAGCAGCTATGTTGAAGGGAAGGACGTATTTATCAAAGTGGATGAACTGATCGAAATTGCTGCGAGAAATTTTCAAGTAGTTCGGTTGCCTTTCTTCAGGTTTTTTCAAGTCTCATTTGACTATTCATTTTCTGTTTGATTTTCAGACAAAAACTAATATGTTATGTTATAGAAAGCTTGCGCCGAATGAAGATGATATGGAATCAGACAAGATTGAGCAGTTCATAAGGGAATCTATTCAGAATCTCATGTTGAGAAGGGAGATGAGAAAGTTTAATGGGGAAGATGATGGATACGGTGATGACCTTCTCGGATCTTTGATGAGGGCATATCGTGAGAATGAAAGTATCAGTCTTGATGATATTATTGATGAATGCAAGACTTTCTATTTTGTTGGTCAAGAAACCACTTCAATGATGTTATCATGGACCTCTTTCCTTCTAGCCCTTAACCCAGACTGGCAAGAAAAGATAAGATTGGAGGTTTTACAGGTTTTCGGAGATAGAAGCCTAACTTCTGAGGATTTTTCCGCCATTAATAAGCTTAGACAGGTGATAAAGTGAACTTATTATCTTTGGCTTTTCTTTTGGAATACTTTTATCGACATTGAACTATATCAATTTGCTTGCTTGTAAGGGGAGGGATTTAAGTCTAAGGCTGATAATATAAAATTGATGAAGTAGTGCAAGATTTGTATATATCAAACGAAGGCTTATTATCTATGTTGCACCAATACGGATACGGCGACACGGATATGATACGATACGGATATGGGGCATGTCAGATCTTAAAAATATAGGATACGTGTACGGCGCGGACACGACATTATAATTTATAAATCATACATAAAAATTAAGAAAGCAATCAAAGCATAATATTTGAAATTAAAAAAAAAATGAAAATAACATCATTTGTAGCCATGTAGCTTATAATATCAAAAGAAAAATAAGCATTAAATGTCTAGTACAACGACAAAAGCATAAACATAAATTGTCTAGCACATGAAGTTTCAGCTATTCAATAGAATGAATGATATGATTAGCTTTTTCAGTGATTTGTCTTTGAACTTCTATATCATCTTCAATAAATATCATAGCTTCTAATTCAGGCTCATCAAGTGAAAGATTAGCAATTTCTAATATTCTCATATTATCAAGAGACTCAAATCCATCTCGGAAATGAAAAGAACCACGACCACAGTCGCGTAAGTAAATATAACGGTTCTTTTTTCGGATTTTTTTTGTTTTTCAACGGACACGCGTATCCTTTTGAAATTAAATAGTATTTTAATTGGATATGGCAAAGCCGTATCCGACACGTATTGGGGGCGTATACGTGTATCAGTGTATCAGATACAGCACGCCTTCATAAATAGGTGTAACGATGCAACATAGCTTATTATTGATCACAGCATTTTGAATATATAACATTACCTGCAGATGACAATGGTGATCAACGAATCAATGAGGCTTTACCCACCAGTACTCGGCATATTTAGAACAGTGGCACAAGATTGCAAAGTGGGCAATGTTCTTCTACCCAAAGGCATGCAAATACAGATCTCAACGCTTGTACTGCACCATGATCGGAATATATGGGGTGAGGATGCACAACTCTTCCTGCCGGAGAGGTTCGCCGGCAATATCAGTGGCGGCGACGCCTTCTTTCCATTCGGCATTGGTCCCCGATTATGTGTTGGACAGGGATTGGCAATGCTGGAGGCCAAGCTGGCTTTGGCCATGATTCTGCAGAGATATTCCTTCACTCTCTCACCAACTTATGTTCACTCACCAGTGTCCCGACTCACTTGCAAGCCTCAACATGGACTTCAAGTGGTGCTACAGAGGCTGTAGAAGATGAGTGACATTGCCACAGAGGAATAAAGGGAGAAAAAAATTTAGGACTGGTAAACTTGCATGCTTGTATGTTATGCTGATAATTTAAGGAATTGTATATTCCTTTCCAATTATCACAAAGTTTTAATTAATTTTAGTTCCTTGATGAATAAAATAAAATGGCAAAGACTTATAAGTGATAAAAAAATAGCAAAGGACTCCTGCCTTATAATTTGATGAAAATGACTTATTTCATGAAATCATGCTTTTTTACTGTTGTTTTTTTACTATAAACACATGAGATTAGGAAAATATTTGACTCTCTAAATGCTGTTAAGAAGCTTATGACAATAATTATGAGTTTTTGTGGAAAGACATGGCAAAGACCAAAACTGAGAGAAAACAGGAAAGAAGAATCGTTCCTCAGGAGAGAGGAAGGAATGTGAAAACAGAGAAAACTATATACTTCATTACGTTAAAGCAGATTACATAGCAATATATATAGACCAATGCAAATGGGAGAGACAAGAAGGTACAAAAGAAAGTACAAGCGTGAGGATGAGGCCACGTGGACGGTCTGTCTAACAGTCCCCTTCAAACTGATGACAGTAGAACAGTAATGAGTTTGCTTGTTAATTCTTTAAACCGCACGGTTGTAAGAGGCTTGGTGAACGCGTCCGTGAGCTGAACGTTGGTGCATATGTGATGAACATAGAGATGCTTGTTGTGAATGCAGTGGCAGATGAAGTAAAAATCGACCTCAATGTGCTTTGTGCGGGCATGGAACACATGGTTGTTGGCTAAAGCGATGCCGGAGGTGTTGTCGTAGTACACGGTGGTAGGAGTGATATGGGGTATATTGAAGTCTTCAAGAAGGCGTTGTAGCCATATTACTTCTGCTGCTTCCATGTCTAGAGCTCTATACTCGGTCTCGGTTGATGATCTGGCGACGGTGTTTTGTTTCTTGACTTGTCATGATATGAGTGAGGTGCCCAAGAAGTTGTAGTAGCTGGTTATGAACTTCCGGTTTTGATTGTTGCTAGCCCAATCTGCATCGACATAGCCACGTAGCAAGAGTTTGTCTTTGCGGAAGAGAATCCTTAAAGAAAGAATCGTGCTTGCCGTTAGAAATCAGGAAGAGAATCCTCAAAGAAAGCTATATGCAAGTGTCTTCAGAAATCGAGAAGAGAAACTTAGGCTTCGTTTGGGATGATTTTTTTTATTATTTTTTAAAATATTTTTTTAGTTTAAAAATTAAAAAGTTATTTTAAGAAGCAGTAAGAAAGTCGTCCAAAACAAAGCCTTGGCCACTTAGCTCTATTCATAACCTAATCCAAAATTTTTCATTTATGCAATAAGTACAATCTATTCATTAGAGTATGAGAAGTTGCACATAACAACACTTTATTAGTTAGGATATGTTTGAAATGACTATAGTGTTTTATAAAATTAGTTATATTATTGTTGTGAGGAAAGCAAATTAACTATTCTTGTTCTAAAAAATATTTTTTTATCACAAAGATTTCTAAAATACAGGAAAATTTACATACATACCAAATGAAATTATGATTGATATGTAAAAAATAAAGCTGCAAGAAAGTCACCCTAAACGTACCCCTAGTCCTATTCAAAACCCAACCAATGCCCGTATCTGCTGCCAAAATTTAATCGGCAGAATAAAATTTTCATGAAAGGAGATAGAGGAGGAAAAAAGGTAGAAGGAGATGGTCTATTGTCACATTCTAATATAATATAAGCTAACTAGTCTCTTGTCCCATTCTACTATTAAAAAAAAAAGGTGAGGACACATCTATGCTTAGCATGGTTGGTGGGCGAGTACAGTTGGGAACCCCCAAAGCTGTGCTCAATTTCCCTCAAGCGGCAGCGTCTTTTAAGTGGGACCCCATCATGTGCGGGCCAGGAGGTTTCTAAGGTGGGTGCCTCTTCTAGGTTAGCCGAAGATTAGTCATGCCGCCAAGCCCCTTTTCAGGGGTGGCAGCGGGTAAAAAAAAAAAAAAGGTGAGGTGTCAAAATTTTTGTTGTCGTGTGCCAAGAAGATGGATGGCCGGTGTCAAATAACCGGATACTCTAATTTGGCTGTTTAGGAAGTATACTTTGAGAGGGCAAATTTCTCACATTATTTAAAACAAATATTTCTTTTGTATTATATGTATGTATCATAGCCTTATGGAATATAATTAATATGATAAACTTGGTTGGCATTTTGCTAATGCTCTTAATTAATATTAACATAACACTAATAATTGAGAAATCAAACAACTATAAACAGAGTGAAAGGGAGAGAAAAACAGCTAAGATTTTTCTCCACGGAGTTATGGCCAATCTCCAAGGAATTAATCTGATGCTCGCTCTTGTTAGCCTAATTCTTCTCCCATATGTACTGCGATTTCTCAAGAGAGCATTTTGGGATCCGATCAGAATAACAAAGTCAATGGAAGCACAGGGAATCAGAGGCCCTCCTTACAAGTTCTTACATGGGAGCACATCAGAAGCCAACAAGCTAATGGAGAAATCCATGAATACTCCCATGGAGCTATCACATAACATACTTCCGAAAGTTCAGCCTCACTTTCATTCTTGGATCAAACTCTATGGTATTTGAACTTATTATTAGAAAATCTGTCTTTTTTTTTTTTTTGTTTCTTAAGGATATCAAGTCTATACATGTTAAATAAGGGAGGAATGTTCTTACTTGGCATGGGTCAACGCCGAGGCTTGTGGTTGGAGAAACAGAGCTGGTGAAGGAGATATTGAGTGATAGAGAAGGAGGATTCCCAAAATACGAGCCGCCGGAGTTTATGAAGAAGCTGCTTGGTGATGGGCTCGTGACTTCCAGCGGCCAAAAATGGGTGAGGCAGAGAAAGTTGGCCACTCATGCCTTCCGTTCTGAGAGCCTCAAGGTAGCCTTTTTATTTTAGTAATCTCTATTATTTAGTAAATTTTAATTCAAGATAGTCTCCTTCAATTATTGATTTCAGGAAATGATTCCAGCAATTGTATCTTCAGTTGAATCCATGCTACAAAAATGGGTTAAATTTGAAGGAAAGGAGATTGATTTGTTCAGAGAATTTTGCACCCTTACACCAGAAATCATTTCAAGGACTGCATTTGGGAGCAGCTATATTGAAGGGAAGAGGATATTTATCAAAATAGATGAGCTGACTGCAATTTGTGCAAGAAATTTTCAGGCAATTCGACTGCCTTTCTTCAGGTCTGTGCAAGTTTCATTTTATTATTCCTTTTGATCTATTTAAAAACTGATATGTTCTGTTTTAGAAAGCTTGTGCCAAATCAAGATGATATAGAAGCAGACAAGATCGAACGGGACATAAGGGAATCGATTCTGAAGCTCATAAAGAGAAGGGAAGAAAGAAAGGAAAATGGAGATGACCTTCTTGGATCACTGATAAAGGCACATCGTGAGAATGAAAGCATTACTCTTGATGATATTATTGATGAATGCAAGACATTCTATTTTACAGGTCAAGAAACCACTTCTATTATGTTATCATGGACTGCTCTTATTCTGGCCATCAACACAGATTGGCAGGATAAGGTAAGATCGGAGGTTTTGCAGCTTTTTGGAGATCGAAGCCTGACTTCTGAGGATTTTGCCTCCATTGCTAAGCTTAAAAAGGTGATAAATTGAACTTCCCGATGTCTTTTAGTTGAAAAATTAAAATTTTGCTTTTAGAAGCAGAAAGAAAGCCGTCCCAAACAAAGCCCGAGTCTTTTATATGAACTAATTACTGCAGTTGACAATGGTGATCAACGAATCGATGAGACTTTACCCGCCAGTACTGAACATATTGAGAACAGTGGCAAAAGACTGCAGAGTAGGCAATGTTCTTCTCCCCAAAGGCATGCAGATACAGATCTCACCGCTTGTAATTCACCATGATCTCAGTATATGGGGCGATGATGCGCAGCTCTTCTTGCCGGAGAGGTTCGCCGCCACTGCCAACGGCGGCGCCGCCTTCTTTCCATTCGGCGTCGGTACCCGAATATGTGTTGGACAGGGGTTGGCAATGCTGGAGGCCAAGCTGGCTTTGTCCATGATTCTGCAGAGATATTCCTTCGGTCTATCACCAGCTTATGTTCATTCTCCGGTGTCTCGACTCACTTGCAGACCGCAACATGGAATTCAAGCTGTGCTGCGGAAGCTGTAGTTGATGAGTAATAATAAAGCAGGGAGAAAGGGAGAAGAAAGATAAGACTGATAAAATTGGCTGCTTTTGTTAATTTAGAGAATAATTTTTGTATTTCAAGCAAGCACAGCAAAATTTCTAATAAATTAAAGTAACTCTCCTAGATCTTCAAAATCCATAACAAGGTTTAATTCATATATTTGCAATAAATAGTGGCGTGGTAGCTCATAGAAGAACAGCCAAAAAAAAAAAGAGCAAGTAAATGCACTGTGAAAACTGTGAATACCACTTTGATAGCAGAATTTCTATATTCAATATGTTTCTTTTTTCTTTTCCTCTACATATATATGTATAACATGGTATATTTTTGTTATTATATCAGACCACACAATGTAAAAGTCACAGCTGCCACCTCCGAAAAGGTGTTTGGCGAGTTGGCGGTGTGAGAAATCATTGGCTAACCTAGAAGAGGTACCCATCTCAGAAAACTTTAGGCCCACACTTGATTGGGCCCCTCTTAAGAGGCACTGCCACTCGAGGGGAATCAAAAACGGGTTGGAGGTTCTCAACAGTACTCGCCCACCAACCAAGCTAAACATATGTGGGTACATAATACTAAATAATTGAAAAAGATCAAAAGCTGTGAATTAAAGGTAATGGAAATAACATAAAAGCAATAGATGCAACTCAGGCTTCATTTGGGATGGCTTTTTAATTGCTTTCTAAAACGGAGTTTTAGTACAAAAATAAAAAAATTTGTACTAAAACTCCATTTCAGAAAGCAGTAAAAAAGCCGTCCCAAACGAAGCCTCACTCGATCTATTGGTTGTGAGTTTTGACTATTAATTAAGAGATTTTGAATTCAAAGTTTACGTATATAATGTGTGTGTGAGTTTATCTTAATTGGCTAAAAAATCCTCTCATGATAAATTATCCTTTCTTCCTTATGATGCACGACGCAAATAAGAGACATTGTCTTATATTGTAAAAAGCTATATAAAATATATATTGGCTACAAAATCAAAATTAGTTTATTTAAATTCAAAGAATCAAAGTATATTATATATTATTGAATTGACTTTAACTAGATATTATAAAATTATGCTCTTAGTATTTTGACTATTTTCATATTTACTCATCCACATATATCATTTGAATTATTAATACATTCTGCAAAGTCCTATGCTAGTAGAGTATTGAGAATAAGATTTTCATTATATCAATAGATAATGAATGCTTCTTATAATGATAGGGCAATTAAGCTTAATAGGATAGCTTCAAGATGAAGCATAAGTTATTTTTTAAGACAAGTTTTTCTATGTGCTTTTTTGTGAACAGGTGATAAACTTGATGGTAAAAGATGATATTATAAGCCCTTCAAAGCCGAGCCACATGGACTCTTATGCCTCCACCAAGCAACCAGATCATCCTTGGATGTTGATGGACCTACAAAGCCAAGTTTCATGTCGACAATAGTGTGACCAAATATAAAGCTCACTCTGTTACACAATATAATAATAAATAATATTGCTCTATATGGATCATATTGAGACCTCCAGTCCTATGGTAAAAATGCTAACTATATGGATCATCTTCATCATTGCTCTTCATCTTGATTGGGAGGTACTTTAGCTTGAAGTGTCCAATACCTTTCTTCATGACAAGCTCAATGATATAGTTTACGTGCATCAACCACCCAGCTTAATTGATTAATCATATCCCAATTATGCTTGCCTACTAAAGAAAACTTTCAATGAGCTTAAACAAGCACCCTTCCAATGATTCAGTACATTATCAAATCATCTCCCTCACAATGATTTTTAGTTCATCCAAGTTGATATATCTCTTCTACTATATAAATAACATGGTATACTCAAATATTTATTGATGTAAGTTGATGATATTTTAGTAACAAGGAACAAACCCTCGACTATCCAAAAACTCCTTCACAACTTACACCAAACTTTTGGCATAAAGAATTTGGGGACGATTTCTTATTTTATTGGCATCTAGATTATCCATTGCCTGCGAAAGGTAATCTAAGCATAATTTTTATTATATTTAAAAATTATAATATTATGTTATTTTAATTTGTAGATAAATTTAAAATTAATAAAGACATTTTGTACTAAAATAATTAAAATTCAAAAAAATTATATATGATTAATAGAATAAATATTATATTTTTTTAATGAGTCCAATTTTTATGATTACTTTGATGAAAATTAAATCATAATGTCCTCTCATTAGTCAATCAAAACCAAGCAAGTTGCATGTTTTGGTTTGTGATCTTAGCTTAAACCTGAATTTGATGCAACCTTTAATATCGAGCTTCCCAGATCGACCACTCAGATCAAGATTTTTCGGTCTTCTTCTTCCCAGAATCGGGCCAGCGAGAACATCGAGTGATTCTTACTTCACACTTCACAGCATGGAGCTCTGGTAAGTGATATGTGGCGACTCAGAGAGAAAGCGAAGAGCCGCGTCTACTCTCTGCTTTATGTTCCAATGCTTTCTCCTATATTTCCTTCTTGATTACTGCCAATTCCTCCGTCAATTTAATCCATTTCATAGAATCCTCGGCTCTTCTCTTCTATCCTCTCGAGCTGTGCGTCTATTCGCTGCAAGCTTTTATTTTTTTGCGATCTGATCTCTGCCGAGAAAGAGGGCGAAGAGCTCATTGAAGATTTGGTCTCTCGATTTCGTTATTGGTTCTAAGGAATATTGGAGAAAGAAGAGAGTTTGGCGATCTGGAGGAGGAATGATAGATATTTTGCGGTGTGGAAGAAACCCTGATTTGGATTTGCAGCTGCGAACATCTTCCAGAGCGAAGGCGGCAGTTTGGGATCGTGCGATATGCGGAGGAGCCGGCGCCCGGCAAGAAGGAGGCTTTCGGATTGGATCTGGTGGATTCTTGCTCTATTCATGGCTGGGGGTTTGCTTCTATTTATTCTTCATCACCACCACCAGGACAGGTCTGGGCTTCAGATCAAGGTAAACTCCTTTCCTTCTTGCGTGCTTCATGGGATTCTTTAGCGGAGAATGCAAATTACGGCAAGCTGGATTTTAGAATTTATTTCTAATCTTTGTAATTGGTTTTGATCTTGTTTCTTGAGAGGTTTTGTGGATTCCTTTTTTGGTTGTTCCCATTTTGGAGATTTATGCATCAATCAGAGATTATATTGTCTTCAAAAAGTATCTGCAAATCCCTTGAAAGGCTTGGGTAGGTTCTTTGGTGAGTGGCTTAATGTTTTAGGTTTTTATGTGGAGGTAACTACTTAAATTTCATTAAAATATCTTATGGCTTGCAAACATACACAAACAAAAGTCTAAGTTTAAAAATTTGGAAGCTTTGCAAACAATGCAAAGTAATTGTGCACATATATTTTTGGCAGATTTTCACCATTGTAATAAGCACTTTTCTAAGAATCAATGTTGCTAGAAGCTTTGCATTGAATATTCTTTTCAATATCTCCATAATCAATAAAAAAGAGGTGCATGCTTTATGTTGATCGTTGATGAAATCTTTTGATGATTCGGAACTCTTTGGTCACTTTGTAATTACATCAAAAACTAGTTAATGCTTCATCTTATATATCTTTAAAAACATCAAAACGCCATTTAGATGCACTTTTTTTCTCGTTGTGCAATAAATAAAAAAGAAAATATTTTTCTCATGCCCTCCAATGAGTGCGGGCATGGGCTTAAGCGTGAAGCCTCAAAATACAAATCAACTTAACATTGTTTGAACCTTTCTCATCCAAAATGGATCGAAATGGGCCAAATCTTGATTGTTTTAGTCGGTTCGATGCTTCAATCAAAATTAACTGTAAGCCGTTTTAATCAGGTTTTTACCAAATCATAAAACTATGATTAAAATAATTGGAGAAAGCATAATATTGAATACAAAAAAAGATGTTTTTTTCTGAAAATATGTTGTTCTTTCATTGTATTTTGGTTAATGAATTTTGTGTTCAATATCAATCAATGATTCCAAGACCGAGTTGTGTTTTTGTACTATAACAAGGCAGGATTCATAGTCGCCTTGTTATAAGTACATTTGCCATCATATCCCAAAACTGATGCACAGCATGAAAACTAAGTAGGAAAACAAAGGGATAAAATACATACAAATATATGAATGAAAACTCTTAAGGCATGTAATTTAGTGTTAGTTTAGACTATGTTTTATTAGCCTTCATTTATGCTTTCATACATGTTACAACACTAGTAACATTCATTTTTGTGAAATATTGTAAACATGGAATTGGTCTACTGTGTTGAATTGATTTCATGGTAGCTCTTTTCTTCTTCCTCAGTGTACCTATATTCTTATTTCATGTTAAAATTTGTCAAAGGATTCTCAAATTATGCTTTGCCTAACAAGACAGTTTTTCAAGCATAATGTTTTGTTAGTGTCTTCATTTAACAGTATTATTTTCTTGAAAGAAATTTTATCAACCGGCAATAATTTTTCTTATTAAATCTTAAGATGTCATAGATCATTTCATAATTTTGATTTATATGATTGTTGTTAAATTCTCTATACTTTTTTATGATATGCATGCTTTCAATTAACTAAGTGTGCTCTTTATTTTTACTTTACACATCAAAATGAAAATAAATCCTTTTATGCAGGGCTATGTGTTTGTAAGTTGGCAACTTTGGTCACTATATTTAAAATCTAACAAGAATTATGATAGGAAACACTCGTAGAAATCAAAATTAGCTTGGCTGAATTTGAATTTCACCAAGGTTCAAAATCAGAAATAAGAAGAATTTTGGTGGAAATTCTAGCGGAAGATTGATATAATATGGAAGAAAAATAAGAAGATATAATGGATCCTCAATTGGAGAGGATGATCCGGCTCTCCCAATCTTGAAAACACTCCATCTCCCTAACCCTAGGAAAAATTTCCTACTTAAATCAAACAATAAACGGTGAATCCCAAAACAGCCCTTCCAATTTGATTTTCCCTCTTAATGACCACCTAAAATCTTCTCTAATGACTGATGCACCCCACCTGGATAGAAAGCACGGGAGCCTCTGAGCGGAAATCCCGCTTCCGCTCCGCACCTGTGCGGAAATCCCGCTTTCGCTTAGTCGTTTTGGCACGGGACGGTCCCGTGTGTTAGATTGGCTAGATTGGTCCCTCATGGACCGGTCTATCAAATTTATACCATCTTGTCTCATTCGAATGCTTTCTCACGCATATACAATTAGAGATATCAACATAGCTTTAATATTTTTAATTGGCTCAAGTTTGATGAGTAAGTTTTGTAAACAAGTCCAGATAGAAAAAAAAATGCAACAGCTCATTTAATAAATGAGTTAAAGTGCATACAAGGGTTTAAGGTTAGTAATCATGTTAATTCAACACAAGAGAGAGAAAGAGATACCAAAATGATCATGCCATAGTTTAGTCCCATTTAAGAGTTGACAGCTTTTGAGAAGGTATCGGAGTGTAGCTTCCTCAGATCTTGCATTAATACATTTACCATGTTGCACGGTTTACATCTCATTCAATTGGCACAATCTTCCGGAAAAATCATTGAAAACTTTTTTGATGATTTACATAATCATCATCATCTTGATTTGCAATACTTTGCTTCTTGTTTATTTTATGTGCATGTTTCGTTGGTTTGCTTGCTTTAATCCTGTTGGACTACTTCATTCTGTTCTAGTTTAGTTCTTTCAACTTTTACAAATTTATTCTATCCAATTTTATTTTCAATATTTCTTCAATCCTCAGTTATGAAACTAAACTAAAATTTTGCCTGTGTTTGTAACAGTTCTAATGGGTGTCAGTGGTCCATCACATCGTGTATTTTTAATCATGCATATGTTTTGTTTGTGAGTCCTTTTAACAGGTATTATTAAAAAAGTTACCTTATACTTTTGGTAGATGCTTCTGGGTGAATAATTAAATTATTAATATTTTAATTAATGATTTTGGATGAAAGGAATAGATATAGCAAAAGCTTATCAAACTTAACTCACATTAGCATAGAAATGGACATAGATCTATATATCCAGCCTTGACACATGACTTCTATCATTTTGAACTTGCTTTATTCGAGAAACGAGTATTTTATAAATTTAAAATGGTCATCTGTATTTCCTATTGCCAAGCTTGCTTGATGTAGCTAATATAACGATGACTGGTAATTCATTAAGCTGATTCGAATGTAGCAGGTCTGGAGCATTTGTTAAGTAATGTTTAGTATATTTTTTAGGACCCTTTTTTGAGTCAAAACAAGCTTCAAATGCAGTGTGGGTTGCTGCATCAACCCCTCTCTAGAGTCTGCATTAGTGGGCAGTCCATGCACCGTTGCGCCCATTTTATTCATATTATTTAAGGAAAACAGGATTGCCCATAAGAAAGGAGAATATAATTGTATAAAGGTTTGTGGATAGTGGGGTTTTGTGTTTGTTCGAATGTTTGTCATGGGTGGATGCCGTGTGTGGAAATGGACTCCATTTGCAGTGAGAACCAACTTACGTTATCATAATTTTGTGGCATTGATTGTTATGTGTTGAATCTGATTGTGTTACTCAATATAGTTGTTATGTTGTCTCGGACCTCAAAGCTTGTCATGTTCGCTAGATGGTGCAGGGGGTTTACCCCTTGCTTGGGTTCGGGTTCTTTGCAACCGTAAAATTTTTTTTCCTCGTACAGCCCCCCAAACGGGCACCGCATCGCTGTAAGACGAATTGGATGGTTTTCTTTCTCATTTTTTTAAAGGGTTGCATTCATTGGGTTTATTTTACTTGGCTTTCTCTTGTATTTTGAGTAAGTAGACATTGAGAACGGTATATGTGAGAAGAGAAGCAAGAAAAGAATGAGAGAGAAGAGAGATCTATACTTATTTCTCCCAATTTTCATAGTGGATTTTTTGGTGTGATGTAGCTCCGTAGTTTTTTCCCTATTTTGAGTTTTTCCACGTTAAATCCTAGTGTCCTCTACTTTTTCACTGTTTTTACTTTCTTGATTGTTTTGTCATTGTGGTGTTTACTTCTCATCTCCTCAACAATGATCTCTAATTTATTGTTTTCACATGGGCAGAATTTTCCTAGGAAGTTTGAAATATATATTGGGAAAATTTTTACACGTCTGATATCACTTTTTTTGATTGGTAGGAAAATCCTATCGTTTCAGATGCCATCCGTCATTTCATGTGAATTTCCCTGCAAATTAAGATCTTAACTATTAGCGGCCTTGCAAGCTTTTGGGCATGTTAATCTTCAGATGTCTCCAGTTGCATTTTGTAAAAATGAAGCACTTGAATTAGTTTCTTCTTTAGTATAACCAGATGTAAAATATATTGCTTTTCATTACTGCCTTCTTTGCATGTTATCTACCCAGGATCAGAAAATATTAATAATCAGAAAACTTGAAATGCAAATACCTTAAAATTTAGTTGATAGTTTTTATCAAAATCTTCCAGGAGAAGGGCCCAAAACCCATAGAGATTGCACATCGGAGCTTCAATCTAACACAAGAACTATTGAGCAGTACATCCTTTGCTAGGCAATTGGCTGATCAAATGACCCTATCCAAAGCTTATGTTGTCATTGCAAAAGAGCTTGGAAACCTCCAACTTGCTTGGGAACTCAGCTCACAGATTAGGAACTGCCAACGATTGTTTTCTCAAGCAGCTTTTCGAGGAAAGCCTATAAGCCTTGAAGAAGCTCATCCCATCATTACTCAACTGGCTCAGCTAATCTACAAAGCCCAGGATTTACACTATGACATCAGCACCACCATTACAACTCTGAAGAACCATGCAAAAGCCCTTGAAGAGCGTGCAAATGCAGCTACAGTGCAGAGTGCACAGTTTGGTCAATTAGCTGCTGAGGCTCTTCCCAAAAGCCTCCATTGCTTACACATTAAGCTGCTAGATGAGTGGTTTAGCAATCAAGAACTGAGAAAACTTGCAGAAACGCATAGGAAGTCACCTATGCTCGTAGACACAAATTTGTACCATTTCTGTATATTTTCAGATAATGTTATAGCCACTTCAGTTGTTGTGAACTCGACCATCTCCAACGCAGACCATCCTCAGCTGCTTGTATTTCACATAGTCACGGATGGCATCAATTATCAAGCGATGGCAAGTTGGTTTTTGAATAACGATTATAAAGGTTGTTTCTTTGAAGTTCAGAGTCTTGAAGAGTTCGATTGGCTGAACGCTTCTTACTCTCCTTTGTTGAAGCAGCTATCGTATTCAGAATCAAAAGCATATTACTTTAGTGGTGTTTCAGCCTACCCTGAGGAGGAGACCAAGTTCAGGAACCCAAAGTTTGTTCTTTTGCTCAACCACCTGCGCTTCTATATTCCAGAGATATACCCATCACTGGAAAGAATAGTGTTTCTTGATGATGATGTTGTGGTGCAGAAGGATTTAACACCGCTATTTTCGCTCGATCTTCATGGAAATGTCAATGCAGCTGTCGAAACCTGCCTCGAGTCGTATCATCGGTTCTACAAATTTCTGAATTTTTCGAATCCATTGATCAGCTCGAAGTTCGACCCGCAGGCCTGTGGGTGGGCATTTGGTGTCAATGTGTTCGATCTGATTGCCTGGAAGAAAGCAAATGTAACTGCAAGATATCACTACTGGCAGGAACAGAATGCACATAGAACGCTGTGGAAGACAGGAACGCTTCCTGCTGGGCTACTGACATTCTACGGGTTGATGGAGCCGCTCGATCGAAGATGGCATGTTTTGGGGCTCGGCTATGACCTCGACATTGATGATAGGATTATACAGAGCGCAGCAGTTTTGCACTTTAGTGGCAACATGAAGCCATGGCTGAAGTTGGCTGTCAGTAAGTATAAGCATTTATGGACTCAGTTTGTCGACTTTGAACGACCCTATCTGAGAGACTGTATCATGCATTGAATTGCAGTTGTCCTGTTATTTGATTCTCTTATATTTTTGAAGTCTGAAACTACATGTTTCAGCTTGGCTGGAAATTGTTAAAGCTTCTTGGAATCGAGAGACCTTTTTATACATGGCGAAGCACAAGCTTTTGTATTTCTGTATTTGAAACATCAGTTCTGTAACTAAGATTGTTTGGGATAGACTTTTTTATTGTTTCTTAAAGTAGCTTTCTAGTACATAAATTTTAATTTTTGTATTAAAAAGCTGCTTCAAGAAACAGTAAGAAAGCCGTCCCAAATGAAGCCTAAATCCTCTGATCTAGCTGGTTGTAAATTGGAGGCATGTATTGAGAGTCCTCATTGCCAATTAGATCATTTATGTGAATTGAAAGATTGTTCGATTTTTACAGTGTTATTATTATTTTTAAATAAATGGTCTTTGAACAGTATTATAGCATTCAGGATTCAGAAAGTAGCTCTATTGTTTTGTGGAGTGGATTTTTCTTAGATTCTTTGTTGTTGGCCGGTTTTATTTTTTATTTTTGGTTTGGGTGGTGGCTTTGGGGAGAGATGTCCCTCTTCTCTATTTTGCTTTGTAGGTTTTGCAAGTTATTCTTATCTTTACTAGATTGGTTCCAGGTTGTTGAATGCTCCTGGTAGCTCCTTTCGGGATACTATCTTGGTTGCTTATTGATGTTGGTGACTCTCTTTTTTGGATTTCTTTTTCATTTGCTTGATTTTCTATTGCTGTAACAGATAGGATCCCAAGCTTTCGGATTTTAATTCAAATATTATTCTTTTTAACGAGCTTCATATCCTTTAAAAACATGTAATTTTGTACCAATATTAACTCGTAGTTCCCGCCGTGAATTTTCTCAAAAAAAAAAAAATTTGTCAAGCTCTATTTACCGTCAGCATCGTAGTCCTTACTAATAATAAAGGGACGGTGAAGAAATCACATACAATCAGCTATGGAATGCCAGATTTGTGGCAAGCTTAGACATTTCGTTGTCAGATGTTGGCATAGGATCAACCACCATTACAACTCCTCACCTCGCAGCTCTCAAGCAATGTACGTCGGTGCTTCTCAATCAACACTAGAGTCACTTCACACCTAACTTCCTATCCCAACCAAAAATTCAATTTGACTTGCATCGCTAGTACTCTAGGCACTGGTTTGTCCTTTCACTTTTTATTGGCATATTAGTAAAATTGAAATTAGTGAGACTTTAAAGAAAATGAAGTATGAAAAAGTTATTGGACTTGTTGATATTTCAATAGAGGCGTGAAAATGCTCAAAAGATGAAGGAATTTAATGGCTTACTGAACTTTTTAATATTATTTTGAAAATTAAAAAGATGTTATATGAGAGGAAAATGAGTGTGTTGATTACTATTTTTTAAGAATAAAGGTGATGCATAAGATTGTGCGAATTATAGAAAAATCAAATTAATGTGTCATACTTTAAAATTATAGGAGAGAGATATGAAGCATAGGTTCTAATGTGATACTGATGTCTCTCAAAATCAAATTTGATTCATGGCACTGTTGGATCTTTGAGGAGATCTTGAGAGATATTCTTGCAAGATCCAGAGAGGGAGAGGGAGGGGGAGAGAGAGACACCAAATTGGAGGAAATACAAATAAGCTTTTCAAAATTTTCCCCAACTCTTACATCAACCCAAGTCCTCTATTTATAGAGCATTACCAAGGTGTGATAACATGCATGAGCAAAAAAAGCCTAAAACTAAAACAACTCATAACATCTACCATGGAAGTTATATATTTTTTGAGAGGTTTGATAGAGAAGTATAAAGAGAATAAGGAGGATCTTCATATGATATTTATTGATTTAAAGAAAGCATGTGATAAAGTTTTTAGAGAAGTGCTATAGAGAGATTTAGAAAAGAAAGGAATTAATAATGTTTATATTCAAGTCATTAAGGATATGTATATAGGAGCTATTACGTGTGTTCATACACAAGGTGGTTTGACCAAGTAATTTATTATTTCAGTTGGATTACATCAAGTATCAACCTAAAGACCATATATTTTTGCTTTAGTTGTGGATGCTCTCACTATGTATTTGCAAGAGGTTGTACCATGGTTTATGCTTTTTGCTGATGATATTCTTCTTGTTGATAAAACTAGAGAGGGTGTTAAAGGTAAACTTGAATTATGGAGGTCAACTTACAATTTAAAAGCTTTCGTTTGAGTAGATGTAAAATTGAATATATGTAGTATAATTTTAGTAATAATATATCTAGTGGGGGATTGTGACTTTAGGGGATCAAGTCATTAATAAGAGTACTTGTTTAAAATATCTTGGATCTATTGTTTAGAGTGATGGTGAAATAGATGAGAATATTATTAGTAGAATTCAAGTAGGATGATTGAAGTGAAGGAATACGTTGGGTTTGTTTTGTGATAGAAAAGTCCCTCTCAAAATTAAGGGAAATTTTTATAAAATGGTGGTAGACCTACAATGCTTTAGGGTGTAGAATCTTAGCCATTAAAACATAAGCATGTAATATTTACAGAACTGAGATCTCGTCATGTGAAGAAATCAAACGAGGTGCGGAAGATTGAAAGGAAAAGTGATGTAGTGGATCGTCGGAAGATCAAACCTGCAAGAAGGATTTCAAGGAGTTTCCCAATCCAGGGAAGAAGAAGAGAGCTTTCTCAAAGCTTCAAAAGAGTTTTTATCATTCAATGCCTCAAAAACCATACATTATACCTATTTAAGGGAGCAAATAGAAGACTCTAGACTAAAGAAGATAAACTAGTCCCTAGGCATAAGATAGGCTAAAATGTTCCCACATCATTCTCCCATTGCGTAAAAAGGCTCGACTCCGTTCGAGGCTCGATAATTAGAAGGGAGGTAGGGTGGCAACAAATTCCGGGATCGAAGACTTTGAATGCAGACTTTGAAATTACCACATGAAGAGGCTTCCACCAATCCAAGTGATGATTGTTCTCTACACCATTACTGTCATCAACTTCGTTGGATTTGCTACCCATTATCTCACAGAGATTACTGCCCTCATTGAGATCAAGCTCATCTAACTGAACAAAGTCGGTACTCGCAGTAGTGCAATAATCAAAATGCATTGAAATTTTACTCTTACACATTTCTTCAACCATTCCACCTGTAAACATCTTTGCAAATGGAGTGCTCCCCATGCTATTAACAACTTCGGATATCTGCAAACATCTAACATATCTTTTGGAAAAGCCTAGATCATTTAGTGATTGCAGTTCAAGATTTCTTGCAAGTTGCCAGCCTACCGCCACAAACATGTTGCAACTGGCCTGCATATCTTGAACAGAAAGCCCTGAAGTACCACTTTCATTTACAGCAGCTTGATATTTCTGTGCAACATGCAGTAACTGGTTCACTTGATGTGCCATCATTCTACGAGGGAAAAGTTCTTCATGGCGTCGAGCACAGAACTCCCAACACAAGATCTTCAAATCAGGAATGAAAATTATTCGAAGTTGGCCTTCACGCACAACCCGTATTTGCTCATAGACACTCTCTTGAACAGCTTTTTCATACTCCAAAACCATCATTCCGGATGGAAGTCGACCTTCACGAGGCATCTCAAGATATAAAAGCTCATCGATAACCTCGTGATCAAATTTGATTTGATTGAGCCTAGGAAGAACTTCATAAGTGGCCTCAAAGCCTTTTCCAGATTTAGAACCACATATGCCACATTGCCATGCATCCATAGAAGCTTGAGGAAAAGTGCCTAAAGGATGACTGCCAACACCATTATACAATGATAAACACCATCTTTTCTTTGCTTTGGGTGCAAAGTATTCCACAACAAATTTTCTCCAGTAAGTTGTAGAATTGTCAGGAGGTCGATGACTTTGGTGGTACATATATTGCATCAGCCTCCAAGCACACAAACCACTATAAGTGGGACGTCTTGCAGGAGATACTAGCTGCACAGGGTTCGGCCTAGGCTGTTGGGTTTGTTGGTGCACCTGGATTCGCTGCAATTGCGACTGCAAAATTTGTTGTTGCTGCTGCTGTTGTGCAGCCTGAGCTAACCTCTGCTGATGTATTATGGCCTGAATTTGAGGGCTCTGCTGCCTCATGTCCATCCTCGGCCTCTTCTCAGCAGGCATCATTCCAGATTCATGCATTATTGACTGTGATATATTGCTGGAATTACCTTGCTTTACCATATGTTCTTGCTGAGGAATTTGTTGAACAATGGATGAACCATCCATGACCGAGGAGCAGGAGATGTTGTTGGAAGAGAAGGACAGTGGTGATGCTGGAAGATGTGTATACGACTCATTGTTTATGCTGGAGCTCTTCTGCAACTGTGGCCCACCAGAGAGGGAGGAATTGGCATCTGTGACAAGAGAGCTTGCCCCCATACTGGCCCCAGATGAGTTTGCAGCACTATTGAGGACTCTATGATTCAGGTCAGCGGAAGTGATGTAGTTGTCGGTGCTGTCTTTTTTTACTTTCATTGACGCAGTTGGCTTCACGTTTACCACTCCAGCTTGTCCGGCCATGCTAATCTGCTCGCAAACGAGCTGGAAGCCAGGTGCGGAAACGAGCTGGAAGCCCTGCGTGGGATTGCGGTCTCGATCTCCATCGTGGTCACTATTTGATCGGTGCTTGGAATAAGCGGTTGTGGCCACAGTTGAGGAAGATGAAGGTTCGGACGAGCCTTCGGAAGGTGATGCTCTAGCTGAAAGAAAATCTTCTCCGTCTCCTGCCATGATCGCGGATCCAGCTGACACGATAGGCGCGGGTTCGTTTTCTCCATCGACATCCACAGAGCCCATGGACGATGTTGAAACGGAATGAAGGACGGCGTCGGTCACCAGCGCCTGGAGTGGATGCTCTGTATGATCGGACAGCACCAGAGGAGCGGTTACGGCGGGATTGTGAATGTCCTCAGCAACAACAGATTTTATGTGTGTGGGCAGCAACGGCGGCGTGGTAGAAGTGGGCTCATGTTGAATGTTGGGTATGGGAATGACGACGGAGTTGAAATCGGCGATGGAGTGATTGTTTGCAGGCGAATCTACAGGCGGAAGTAGGTTTGGTAGCACCTGTGTTTTGGTGGAGCAGATGAGCGACGGGGACGGTATGGTTGCCGGCCTGCTCATGATTTTCTCCACAGATTGCAAGACATTAACACATAAAGCGTCTATTCTATCGATTGACGCTTCCACTTGAGCCAACCGAAGGGTTTCCCGGCATTGCGCACGATCGGCATCCCTTCTTCTTCGATGGCTGTTGAAATCTGGAATGAGGGGGCCGGGATTGCGAACTAAATGGTCCGGGAATGGATTCCGCCATTTGAGCGGAAGTTCTAGGGGAGGGTATTCCGGCGGCGGATCACGCCATTGGAGTGGAAGCTCGAGAGGCGGTTAGTCATCGATCTCCCGTCTTCTTCGGCGTCGATCGTTGTCGATCGCCCATCTCCTTCGGTGGCGATCTTCGTTGACCGCCCATCTTATTTGGCGTCGATCTTCGTCGACCGCCCTTGTTCTACGGCTTCGAACGTCGTCGACAGCCGACCTTCTGCAATCCATCGATCTTCGCAAGCTCCAGGCTCTGATACCAACTGATGTAGTGGATCGTCGGAAGATCAAACCTGCAAGAAGGATTTCAAGGAGTTACCCAATCCAGGGAAGAAGAAGAGAGCTTTCTCAAAGCTTCAAAAGAGTTTTTATCATTCAATGCCTCAAAAATCATACATTATACCTATTTAAGGGAGCAAATAGAAGACTCTAGACTAAAGGAGCTAAACTAGTCCCTAGGCATAAGATAGGCTAAAATGTTCCCACATCAAAAAGGAGACGGAAGAGACCGATCCGTAACCTAGAGTCACGAGAATACGAAGAAGGTGAAGTAGGAGCACATGCATGGCTTTGCGTCACCTGGAAATCGATAAAGTTAAGGAAATCGCAGGAAATGAGGAAAATGAAGAAGACGTTCGGGGTTGCAGAAGCCGAACGATCCAAATCGCGTGAAGACGAAGAGCCAACCCCCGTCTTGTGGTGTCGTGGAAGCCGACTGGTTAGGGTCGATTCCATTGTTTGGCAACGCCATTGGCTTCGTTTCTATAAATTGGAGAAGAGAGGGAGGAGTGAGACCGAGTGAGCTTGAGAGAGAGGAAACGAACTCAATGGGTAGGGCTAGCGGAGAATTGATCCAGCCGTTCATCTATAACTAACCAAATCAAAGCATACACGTGTACAACCAATTCTCTATATATACAATCTGTAATGTGCTACAGTAGACTATGGAAAATGAGAATGAAGCTTTTCTCTGCATACTCTGTTATTTTCCTCTTCCATGCTAATCTTCTTTTCAGGTCATCCATGGCAGTTCTTCATGGTATCAGAGCAGGAGCTCTTCTCAGCTGCATCTGATCCTAATGGCACAATCTTCTTCCTCCTCGTCGGTAGCGGAGGCAAGTACAGGAAAGATTCCTGAACCCTTACCCATCACCGTTGCTCTCAAACTAGTTCTAGCAAACATCAAAACCATCGTTCCTCTGCCTCTATCAAACGACAACTACCCACTGTGGAAATCTCAGATCCTTAAGCTTTTAAAGGCCAATGGATTCGGAGATCACCTAGATCCCAACTTCATCACCCCGCAGCGTTTTCTCCTTCAGTCAAACAACTCCACCATTATAAATCTAGCCTACACCCAATGGCAAGTAGCCGATCAAAATTTAGCCGCTGCCATATGCTCCACCATCACAGCCTCTATCCTTCCCTATGTTCTTCATCTGGAAAGCTGCGCAGAGATCTGGTCGACTCTAGCCCTTCGTCTTCAGGCATCCAACAGATCTCGTGTGATTCAATTGAAAAATGAATTACACAATATATCTATGAAGGATCTTACAATGCAACAGTACCTAACTAACATCAAGACCCTGGTGGACAATATCGCCGCCGCCGGATCCAAGATAGAAAGTGAAGATATCATAATGTATACATTGAATGGCCTCCCGCCCTCCTACCAAGCATTCAAAACCTCCATCCGTACGAAGCTCTCCCCTCTCAGTCTTGAAAATCTATATTCGCTTCTTCTAAGCGAAGAGATCAATCTGGCAGCTGAGCTACTACGCGAACAGAACTTCGTGAATTCACACGCAGCTCTATACACATACCGCGGGCGTGGCCGGAGAGGAAGAGGACGCACCCCGCTGAATAGTGGAAATAGACCATCTACCACCACCCCAACCGTATGTCAGATCTGTTCCAAACGAGGACACACAGCTTCGCAATGTTGGCATCGCTTCAATGCCAACTACGTCCCAACTCCACCGGCGTCTACCACCACCAAGGCTCTTGTCGCTGATACTTCAACAGCTTCCAACGACTGGTACATCGACTCAGGTGCCACCTCGCACCTCACACCACATCTGGACAATCTACAACATCCAACGAACTATCTCGGATCGGACAACGTCACCGTCGTCACCACATCTGGACAATCGGACAACATCCAACGAACTATCTCATTCAGGTGCAGGTATCCTACCCACGCCAAATCGTAAGTTATCCCTCTCATCTATACATCACGTTCCTAATCTCAAACATAATCTTCTATCTGTTTCTACTCTTACTTCCGACAATAACATCTCTATCTCTTTCTCCTCTTATGGCTTCATCATCCACGATCTCAAGACTCGCCAAATACTTCTTCAGGGACCACGCCGAAATGGGCTCTACAGAATTAAACTACCCTCTGCCTCATCCAGAGCTTCATCTAGTGCTCTCTCTGCCATTTCAACCAACACACTATTATGGCATAATCGTCTGGGCCACACTCATCATCAAGTGCTTCGCACAATCTCCACTCAACAACAGCATCTCAGCATTCCTACATCTGATTTCACTTGCTCTACTTGTAAGGTCTCCAAAGGCCATAAGTTAGTTTTTACTAGATCTACAACACATGTATCTTCTCCCCTTCAACTTCTGCACTCAGATGTTTGGGGACCTTCCCCGGTTGTATCTCAACAGGGATTTAAATACTACTTGCTCTTTGTCGATGAGTTTTCTAAGTTCACTTGGCTGTTTCCTATGAATTACAAAAATGAAGTTACCTCAATATTCATTAAATTCAAAGCTCTTATTGAAAACCAATTATCTCATAAAATCAAGTGCCTACGCACTGATGGGGGCTCCGAATTTCTTAACAGGGAACTTAAACATTTTCTCCAAACTCACGGTATACAACATCAAATTTCATGTCCCTATACCCCCGAGCAAAACGGCACCGCCGAGCGGAAACACGGACACATCGTCGAAACAACGCGCGCATTGCTTCACACCGCTAGTCTTCCACCCACATTCTGGCCTGATGCGGCACTTACAGCCACCTACATCATCAACCGCTTACCCACAGTCACTACAAACAACGTCTCACCTCTCCAAATCCTTACCGATCAACCACCAAACTACTCACTCTTGCATACCTTCGGTTGTGCCTGCTACCCATGGAAACATCCCTCCCAACGCCACAAATTGGAACCCAAAGCCATCGCTTGTATCTTCCTCGGATACTTGGACTCCTACAAAGGCTACAAATGTTTGAATCCTCTCACAGGCAAAATCATCATCTCCCGCCATGTGACCTTTGACGAGTCATATTTTCCCTACTCCCAAACAATCCACCAATCCCCCACATCCAACCAACCTACTATCCAACACCTCAATCCCCATTTATTAACTCCCATCTCCTATCTGCCTACCACCAACCCATCTATCCAACCTACACCAAATCATTCACCTATACCACCCTCCACACCTCCAACTACAGCCACGATACCAGCCACCTCATCCAACCCCACAATTGCCTCAGCCGCCTACAGTTCACCTGATCCCATCATACAACCACCCGTTACCTCTACCCACCCCATGCGAACTCGCTTCCAAACAGGCTCTCTAAAACCAACGAAACTCCTCGATCTCTCCCACATTACCACACCGCCCACCTCACCCAGCTCACCTGAACCCACAAACTTCGCTGAAGCTCAGCAACTTCCGCATTGGCAAGCAGCTATGGCTCTGGAACTTGCCGCCCTCCAAAACCAGGGGACATGGACACTAGTTCCATCTCCTCCTCACAATACTCCGCTCGGCTGCCGCTGGACTTATCGAACCAAATATCACTCGGACGGCACACTTGCTCGTCACAAAGCGCTTCTTGTAGCTCAAGGATACCGCCAAGAATTTGGCATTGACTACAATGAGACGTTCAGTCCCGTCGCCAAAATCACCACTATTCGCATCTTCCTCACCATTGCCGTCCAACATCATTGGCAAATTCATCAGTTGGACGTCGCGAATGCCTTTCTTCATGGTAACCTCACCGAGACTGTATACATGAAACAGCCGCCTGGGTTCGAAAGTTCCTCTCAACCGAACCATGTCTGTCTCCTACATAAAGCCATCTACGGCCTCAAGCAGGCCCCAAGGCAATGGTTCAACACTTTCTCCTCCTACCTTCTAGATCTCGGTTTCAAACACAGCAACTCCGACCACTCTCTTCTTACCTTCACTAAAAATGACACTCAAATGTTTCTCATCATCTATGTCGATGACATTCTTCTCACCGGCAACAACCCCACCGCCATATCCCAGCTCACTCAAAGCCTTGATCAAGAATTCACCATGAAACATCTTGGCTCAGCTCACACATTTCTAGGCATTCAAATTCACAAACTTCCTCACGGTCTCTTTCTTAATCAATCCTCCTACGCAAACTCTCTTCTTCTTAGAGCTGGGCTTTCCCACTGCAAACCACTATCCAACCCGCTCTCTACCAAACCCATTCTCACCGAGTTCACGGACTCAGCACTATTTGATCCACACATCTACCGACAGTTAACCGGAGCTCTACAATATCTTACAATAACCAGACCCGATCTTGCTTATCCAGTCAATGTCCTATGTCAACATATGCATGATCCTCAAACTCCACACTATCATCTTCTTAAACGCACTCTTCGCTACATTCGCGGCACTTCAACACACGGCATTCCCAAAATACTGGGACCTCTGCACCTGATCTCCTTCTCCGATGCCGACTGGGCTAGTGATACCCTGTCTCGCCGATCCACCACGGGATACTGTTCGTTTCTGGGACACACTATGGTCTCCTGGTGCGTCAAAAAGCAACACACTATTGCTAGATCCTCAACTGAAGCAGAATACAGAGCCTTAGCTGCTGCCACGGCCGATGTTCTATGGCTCCAGCGACTACTTCAAGACTTCGGCATCACTCTTCCAGGTCCTACAACTATCTTCTGCGATAATGCTTCTGCTATCGCCCTCGCCAACAACCCCGTGTTTCACTCTCGCACGAAACACATAGAGATCGACCAACATTTTATACGAGATCACATTCAGAATCAAGCCATCACAGTCGCCCCCATTGCCACGCAAAATCAACTCGCTGACGTGCTCACAAAGCCTCTATCTACGCCTAGATTTCATCTACTACGAGCCAAATTGACAGTTCAGCCAGAACCGTCCATTTGCGAGGGGGTAAAGACAGCTTCCACTACCACAACAGCTTTATGAGAAACGACTCAGCTACCTTTATCAGAAATGGCTCAGAATTGATCCAGCCGTTCATCTATAACTAACCAAATCAAAGCATACATGTGTACAACCAATTCTCTATATATACAATCTGAAATGTGCTACAGTTGACCATGGAAAATGAGAATGAAGCTTTTCTCTGCGTACTCTGTTATTTTCCTCTTCTATGCTAATCTTCTTTTCAGGTCATCCATGGCAGTTCTTCAGTTTGCATGAATCAAAATATGGATTTGATCTGGCGCAATGGATTATAAAATGCAGATGATGAGAAATGGCTTTAGTACAATGAGTGTGGAGTGGAGGAGCACTTATCAACAAGAGGATTTCTCAACCAGAGCGCCAATTATTATGAACTAGGAGTATCATGAACTAGGAGTATCGTCTTGATAAATGATAATTTTCAAGCTCATAGACAACTCTAAAAAAAGGTAGATTGAGATAGGAGAAGATAATAATTGTAAGCTTGAGAGGTTGAGAGGGAAATTTTTAATTTCATTATACAACATAATCCCTATTTATTGATCTATACAAGGAGTCTTATTAAAGAAAAAAATAACTACATAATTAGTACCGCAGCTTGATACTGCTTGGTACCGGTGACATGACTGCAATTGATTCGCTTCTAGAAGTAGAGCTGCATCGGTCGCCCACACAGAATCTCTGCATACTTGGACACAAAACTTCTCTAAATGTGAATGAACAAATATACGTACTATATTTTCAATTGCAACGCATAAGATAGTCATTTCAAACAAAAGAAATGGTAAAAAATTAAAAAAAAAAAAATTAACAAAATTCTAGTGGGAAGTGCAGTGTCCACCATGTTAAACTTCCACTTGGCAATACCTCAGCTGAGAAATTAAAGGATATAACCCAAATTCTGCACTAATTAATCCCTCAAAACCTCATCATTTCCCACTTCTGCAACCATATTCCGTCAAAAGAAGCCAAAAGTTCTCCAATTTCATTAAAAATGGCCGCCTGATTGTTCTAATGATTCTACTGGTTGAGAGTCATTGGAAAAGGCGTAAATTTGAAGTCATATCTGTCATAAATTTGCGAACTTTTAGCTCAACACTCATAGAAACAAATTTTGTCAACGAAGTTCTGAACTGAATCATAACAGGCAATTAATTAATTACATCTTTTTCACTTCCTATAGTTCTGGAGAACTAGCACTGCAAAAAAAAACTCCAATCTCCCCATTTCAAAACCTTGGTTTGGTAAACAGAAGAAGAACTCTGTACAGATTGAAGAAGATGACATAGATGACACATGATTAAATAACACTCGTCACTCCCAATCTGAAATTCAGATTTAGCTAACAGGTTTATTAAGTTTATAAACAATCCTACACTGTCGGGCTCCTTCCTCCTCCAATCCAGTGTATCAAGATACATATTTCAATTCATCAAGATGAAAGCAAATACAATCACAAACTGAGAAACAAGTAAACTACAGCAAAGCAAAAACATCAAATTGTGCAATAACAACAACGTTACATCGATCATACCCTTCCCTGCCTTCCAATTCCTGCCGAAGAAGAAGAATTCCCACCGCCACTTGCCATGCCTCCCTTCCCAACCATATTATGATGTTGAGGATGGTATGACCCATACATATGTTGCCCCATCATCATCATCCCACCGGCGGAAAACTCCTCCTTTTGCTGCGATTGAGTGGAGGAAGCACCCTTATCACCTTCCAACTCCCTAAACTTTTGCAAATAAAGCTTTAGGGGTTCAGCATAGTCTTCGAAGCCAAGGGTGGTCATGGCCCAGAGAAGGTCATCGCCATTGATGGTCTTGCGCTTCTCGCGCTGACACTTGTCGGAAGCCTCGCCGGTGATGAAGCTTATGAACTCTGAAACGCATTCCTGTACTGTCTCTTTGGCTTCCTTGGAGATCTTGGCGTTTGCAGGAAGGGCTTTCTTCATGATCCGGCTGACGTTTGCGATTGGGAGTAAGCGGTCCTGTTCCCTCGGGGATGAGAATTCGCTGTTGATAGCTCCGCCGCTGTTGTTATGGCCACCAGATTCGTTATCTGAATCCGCCATTTTCGAGCAAGGTCACGCCTTTTAATCAAAAGTTTGAAGTTTGAAAGGGTTCCTCGATTGGGGTTCCCAAATCAGTTCCAAAACAGCTGACTTTCCTTTATTTCCGGAATCGATCGTAGATCGGGTAGAAACAAGTGTGTCTATTTCGGAAAGTTATAGAAAATCGGTGATTCAAATCCGGAATACACGAAAGAGGGAGAAGAATATAATCTCTTTTGAAGTAGACAAAAATAGAAGAAAAGAACGGAAAAGACAAAACTTCCTCAAGAGATTCAACGGGACGGATTTCACTAATAAAGAGTTCCGCAAACCCTGCTTGACTCCATGGATGCGGCTTTCTAGCTCAGAGAGACGGAGAGAGAGAGACGGAGAGAGAGAGCCGTCGGCGACTTTGCGATGGAGAGAAAAAAGTTACCGGAGTCCGTTGGATCTTGCTCCATGACATGCGGAGATATATAGGCCGTTCGTTTTCCGATTCGTAGTGCGGAGGTGGGTGCGATCTCAGCCGTCCATGTTGGGAAGGCATGTGAAGCAGTCATTGGTGGGAGCGGGTCCCACGTATTTGACGAGAGAGCGAGAGGCACCCGTCCGAATGAGGAGAGGTGGCACTGGCCGGTGGGAGTACATAGGATTGGCATAATGCTGTCATGTATTTTGTATTATTATCAATAAATATTAATATAATAAATCGATGAGTGCCTTCCAAGAAAATGTATGGTAGGGGTGTCAATTCGGGCCAGCGGGTTGGGTTCGGGTCGAATCCGAAACTGATCCGGTACTGTTTGAGTCAACCCGAAAAATGAGTCAGGTTTTTGGACCCGAACCCAACCCGATTCGGATCCGGGTCAACCGACCCGACACGAATGACCCGAAGTTGACCTAAAATTGTTAATTTTTGGGTCAAAAATTGGGTCAATCTCGGGTTTTCGGGTCAAATATGAGTTTTCGTGTCACTTTCGGATCAATTTCGGGTTGCTGTGTCAACCCGAACCCGACCCGATTTTTAAAACGGGTTGATTTGTTCAACCCGAACCCGACCCGTTTCGGATTCGGTCAAGACCCGTTTTGGGTTCGGGTTGACCCGAACCCGGATTTTGAAATTATCAAGACCCGTTTTGGGTTCGGGTTGACCCGAACCCGGATTTTGAAATTATAAATTGAATAAAATTTTTCTTATAGCTTTTGAAATTATAAATTGAATACAATTTTATATTAATTATTTTTTGAATAACACAATTTAAAAATTAAATAATAAAGTTCTAAAGGGCTCATTCTTTTTCTATGTCAATATAATATAGTGAATTAAAAAGATATATTGGATGCACCTTAAAGAATTTTGATTGATTTATTTATTTATTTAATGTTGTTGGTTGAAAGGCTAAAATTTTTTCTCTTATTGATTGCTTATAATTGTTGAAATTTATTAATTTATAATTTATTGATCTTGTTGTCTCAACATTCATATGATTTTGTATTAAATTTATTAATTATTATTATGAAAGATTTTCATAACAAGATAATAATGATTTTAAGAAAATTCACTTGGCCTCTTTGGATTTTATCCATACTCCAAAATCTCCTTTGGGTTTAGAGCTCCCTATTATTTATATTAAATTTTTGAAACTCATTTTTTTTTAAAATTGATCTCTTTTCTCTTCAAAGCTGTCATCTCACTAATGCTTAGGCTTTGTTTGGGACGGCTTTCTTGCTTTTTCTTAAAGCAGTTTTTTAGTATAAATTTTTTTATTTTTTAACTAGAAAGCAGCATTAAGAAGCAATAAAAAAGCCGTCCCAAATGAAACTTTCATTTGGGACAACTTTCTTATTATTTCATAAAGTAAATTTTTAAAGCAAAATTTTATAGTCAAAACAAATGCGGCCTAATAGTAGCTCTTTTAGTAGAACAAAGATAAATAGCAAGTATTTGATTGGTTGTCGTATCCATTGAAGGTGTTCTTTATGAAAGTAGTGAAAATTATATGCATGGACAAATGGTGGGTTAATAATCACAGTATATTTATCTTTTGTCTCAAACTAAGGACTGTATATATAATGAAATAAATTGTGTGTGGGCTTATCTTGTGTCATACCCTTCATGGTTGGCCTAATGTTGGAAAGAAGTTTACTTAATGGGGACTCCTAAAATTAATTTTATTATTTATTGGGTGATCAAATTGAATTTTTATTAATGAAATATCAAAATTATGGGAGTTGATTAATAGATATCTATTATAAATTAATAGATATCAAATCAACCCTTGTGGTGGTCGGGCAATTAATCTTTAGTGGCAACGCCATAATCCCCATTCTTAATAATTGATATATCATCAAAAAAATTATGTTGATCGGGCAAGAATCTCGAAGCAAAATCAAGTTGAAAATTTCAAAAATTAACTTCGGGATCATCCGAACTCGGATTTCAATAAACTTATAGTCAAACCGAACGTCTCGGAAATACGAACCCAACGACAATAAATTTGACTCAATCCGAGCCCCAATGAGTTCAAATCAAAGACCTGCAGCGCATTTGGAAGGTTCAAACTATAATTTGGATTACTAAACGGTTTCCAAACGTGATATGCTTAAAGTCGAATCAAGAGGCTCGACGAGACGAATCCAACGAGCTCAAGCTCGCCGAATTCTGACATAATTGAGGCATTCAAATGTCCAATAAACAATCCGCGATCAAGGGATTGATCAACATCAGCAATCCATTCAAACCACTACTAATTTATCCTTGATCTTCCTCCTATTTACTGGTCATCCCGAGGGGGGGGGTGGGGTTGACCCAACAGCCTACTGACATTGGAGTTCTGCCCAGCCGGCCGTCGATTGACGTCGGACTTCTACCCGACGCCGGACCTCCGCTCTCCAAACTTCTACCCGACACTGAACCTTCGCTCATCTCCATATTTAATTTCTACCTGACACTAGACTTCTGCATGCTCGTCGTCGGACTTTCGCTGTGGCTTCTATCCAACACCGGACTTCTGTCCATCGACAGACTTCTATCCAATGCCGGACTTCTGCCCATCATTGGATTCCTACCTGACACCGAACTTCTACCCGTCGCCAGATGCATGCCCGACATCGGACTTATGCCCATCACCATACTTCCGCTAAGAAGCTAAATTTTATATTTATCTACCCCCACGAATATTCCCAGATGCAACAATCATAATATTGATCATATTTTGAATTTGTATAGAGATTATGGTGCCAAGAACTAAACAATCTTAATTAGTCGATCTAAATGCTTATTTTTAAGGAAGCATTATAAGATCATGTTATAAGCTTCCTTAACCCTCAATAGAGCTTAAATTTAACCATTTGTATATTTCCTCATGTTTATTTGCATTAGATTAAGGCTTTGTTTGAGACTTTTTTTTTGTTGCTTTTTAAAACAGCTTTTTAGTACAAAAATTTTTTGAATTAAAAAAATTTATATTAAAAAATGGTTTTAGGAAGCAGTACAAAATGCTGTCCCAAACAAAACCTAAGGCTTTATTTGCGATAGCTTTATTACATCTTTTTAGTATAAATTTTTTTAACAAAAAATTTTATACTAAAAAGTTATTTTAGAAAGTAGTAAAAAAATTGTCTCAAACAAAATCTAAGTAGATGATCGCACTATAATGACATATTGAGTTACTACAAGAGATTGATGTCTCCATTATAATATAATTATCAAACCTATTTTCTAATAAACTGAGAAATTATAATATAACCTTAAGACTTAAGTAGAATGTAACTAAAATTTAATAGCCCAATATAGATTTGGGCTTTTTTGCGCATAATAACTAATTTCTCGATTATATATCTTAAGTTGGTGCTTCTTTTGGGATAATGTGCCCATCTTTTCATATTTTGAAAGGTTTTTTTTTTTTTTAGATATTTCAAAAATCCATCATTCCCCTTAATAGATTAAAAAAAAATTATCAAACTTTATTTTGTACCAAATATAAAAAAATATCTAGAATATTTTTTTATTGTTATGTATATACTACTTAATTTGTCTTATAGTTTTATAATCAACCAAATAACCTCTGCTGGGGCTCTTGTGGTATATAGCATCATAACATTAGACACTAAATGATGTTTATATATATATATTAATTTATATATTACTTCTGATAAAAAATATAATGCTTTATAATTTTATCTTAAGGCAAAATTATAATGCTATAATCATGCAATTAATAATTATACACATATTTTATATTTCTAATCAAATTCTTTTATTTTACAATACCAACAAAGATACATTAGAAGGGCTCCTGAGCTTTAGGCTTTATTTGGGATGGCTTTTTTACTATTTTAAAAGTTATTTTTTGGTATAAAAGTTTTATGAATCAGATATTTTTATACTAAAAATTTATTTTAGAAAACAGTAAAAAAGTCAACTCAAACAAAACATTAATTGCAAAAACAACCTATGCAGCCATGTAAAGCCAAAAGCCAAGACCAACATTCAACTGCGATAAATTATTACTTAATTCTAATGGGATTTCACCTAATGATCCTACCTCGTTAATAAAATAATAAATTAATTATCAACTGAACAAAAGTCACAGTAGATCCTATACCATCCATGTTGCTAACTGCTAAGGTAGGATGGAAGTTAAGGAATATAAAAGTCTTCAACTATTGCATGGCAGCCACCACTTGACCCAATGAAAATTACATCAGAAGGGTTCTTTCATCACAAGCAAAGATAAAACAAAGCAGCAAACTCTATGAAAAATATTTGGTAAGTATTGGGAGTTGTCCTAACATATATTAGTCTGCAAGAAGAGCATCAGAAAGAAGATATGGTTGGGGGCAGATTTGAAAAAATGAACGTTGAGTAATTAATTAGTTCTCTAATACTTAATTAATAAAATAAGACACTTGGCAGCTTTTATAGTTGGGCAGTATATGCTTCTTATTGAGTCTGGCAGATATGTTTATCTCAGATGTTAGGCTACCAACCAATGGCTGTTTTCATCATCTTACCTTCTCATTTGTTAGGAGTTCTTGAAAGTTGAAAGACTCCTCAACTCTTTCAAAAGTACATAGATGCCCTCCTCTCATCTCTCTCTCTCTCTCTCTCTCTCTCTCTCTCTCTCTCTCTCTCTCTCTAGTTTTGATAAAATGACATTTATGGAAGAGTTATTCTTCATTAAGCTAGCTAGCCATGCATAAACTTCTTGCTTATTTAATAGATATCTAATTGCATGGTTAATAATTAGTTATAGAAATATATAGTTGGGCTGTATCACTCCCAGCTTCCTACAAGTTCTATTCAATTTTTGACACGACCCGAAACACGACTCGAATCCGACCTGGAAAAATCCGGCTTCGGGTCAACCCGAAACGGGTCGGGTTTGGGTTCAACAAATCAACCCGTTTTAAAAATGGGGTCCGGTTCGGGTTGACCCAGAACCCAAAAGTGACACGAAAACTCATACTTGACCCGAAAACCCGAGATTGACCCGTTTTTTACCCGAAATTCAAAAATTGACCCAAAAATTAGCAATTTTGGGTCAATCCCGGGTCATTCGTGTCTGGTCGGGTTGACCTTGACCCGAATCGGGATGGGTTTGGGTCCGGAAACCTGACCCGTTTTTAAAAACGGGTCGGGTTTGGGTTGACCCGAATAGTGCCAAGTCCGTTCCGGATTCGACCCAAGCCCGACCCGTTGACCCGAATTGACTCCCCTATCTAAGTCCAATATCACTGGTTCAAAATGGTGAAAATTATAGATGGTTAAATTTTGGGAGGAATGATGGTTAATCAAAAGAAGTTGTTTATAAATTTTGATAAAATGACATAGATTGAAGAGTTATTTATAGCTAAGCTGTTGATGTGTGTATATAACTAAATTTTGAGAACCAGTGATGTTGGCCTTAGAACCTCTTCATCACCCAGTTGTTGGGAACAGGCTAGTTTTGTTTGTATGAATAGAACTTGTGGGAAGCTGGGAGTGATACAGCCCAATTATATATTTCTATAACTAATTATTAACCATGCAATTAGAATATATATTAAATAAGCAAGAAGTTTATGGCTAGCTTAATGAAGTATAAGATAGTGTACTGGTCATTATTTAAATTGGAATTATATCATTTGAAAATATGATAATTAATTGCTAACTACAAATTAATCTTTTTTTTGCATTTGATAAAATTTATCCATTTATATATTATTTAATATTTTATAATTTGGCTAAAGTATTACTAATTTAATTTTACTGTAATTAGACATTTATAATATAATAGTTATTATTATATGTCAAAGAGTTGATGAAATCTTTTATCATATAATTAATAATATAATCTCAATTGGCGAACTATAAAATATCTCATACATCACTCGTGAGAACACAAATTGAAAATACCAAATAATTATGATTAATTTAGCAAAAAAAAACACTAGAAATAAAGAAGCATGGTCAAACGTGTAATAAAATTGAAAACCGAGGGTATTCTGTTACTGCCGATATGGTCTTATATATATTCCCTCGTCAGCTTCCTTCGTCTCCCACTTCAACCTTCTTCTTGTTCTTTCTGCCTCTTTCTTGCCTTCGTAATTTCACAGCCCCTAGCTGATCAATTAAACCCAAAGAATCCAAAAAACCATGTCAGTTTACCTAACTCTCCTCCTTCTTCTTCTCCTTCCTTTGTTCTTTCTCAAGCCATCTTCTTCTTCCTTGATGATGGCTGAGGAGGAGAACCCCATGCAACAGCTCTCGGAGGCCGAACTGGTTAATCTAGCCGGCTATGGCGAGGAGAGGCTCTCATCTGTGCTAGTCACTGGATCACTTGTATGCGAAGCTTGCCTGTTGGCTGGATCAGAGCTGGACATCTCCCATGTCCAAGGTGAGAATTCTTATTAGGTGATTCTTTTTAATATATTAGAATATCAAGATGGGCTTAACGATGAAACATGGATTCATAGATTTAATTTTAAAATTATTTTTTCCTGAAAAAGATATATAGTTAATTAATTAAACAATATTACTGACTGTTTTTCTTGATCAATTGGTGAATTAATACACACTTTTTTTTTTTTTTTTGTCTTTTTAATTACTTATTTGTTAACGTAAAAGCTTTCAGACCGATTTCATTGAAAGGTTAGAGGTATCAACTGATAGGTTTCTTTGAAGGAACGGAATGCCTGTAGCTGTATTAGATGTCAACTTTTAAAACCAAGCGAAAGAGAAATTTTCTAATTATGACATATTCAATCAAAATTATGGTGATTAAATTACTATAAGTTATCTTCAACGGTCAATTTATATATAATTAAAAAAGAGAGCCATAGTAATCCATTAAGAAGGATACGTAGAAGCTCTATTTTTCTATTCATTGTTAATCATCCATCATAAATTTTAATAGTACGACTTAATTAAAATAGCTGTTCGAACCTCTCTCTCTCTCTCTCTCTCTCTCTCTCTCTCTCTCTCTCTCTCTTAATCGTGTTGCATAACCTCATCCCATAGCTTCAGAAAAATCATAATATGTCAGCAACTGAATTTCATAACAAGATTGTATGTAATACACAGTCATGTATTCGATACCTTCTTCTTCTTCTTCTTCTTCTTCTTCTTCTTCTTCTCTCTCTCTCTCTCTCTCTCTCTCTCTCTCTCTCTCTCTCTCTCTCTCTCTCTCTTACAGCACGGTCAAGAAACCTTTCCAAGCTAACTATTTTGGTTGCATGGAACACAGGTGCAGTGGTAGCAGTTGCATGCAAGACAGATAGAAGAAGAAGAAGGATAAAATATGCAAATGGAACAACAGATGAATTCGGAGAATTTATAATAGACCTTCCCTCTAGGCTCCACGCCATGCCCAAGCTAGAAGAAGCTTGTGTGGTTAGGATTCTTCGCATGCCAAGAAACTCTCTCTGTCGGCATTTCTCCCGTGGAATAAACCCAGCTGCTAAACGCATAAGACTCTCATCTGTGGGCAATAGCATTCGCGTATATACAACTGGATTGGTGAGAACAAGAAGCCTTAAATCAGGAAAGCCTGCTCTTCATGAGTGTTTGAGGAAGAAGGATATTGCTACTGAACTGATGCAGAGCAATTGGTGATCGATATGTGCAGTTTATGCTTTAATTGCATGCATGCATGCTACTTGTGAATATGCGTGAACAAGTCTTGCTTGAAATATACGTACATTAATTACCTCGCATATACTATATTTAGATGTCGACTATGGACTATTTTGTGAAAAGGGAAAATCGTATCAGGATAAGGAAAAATTATTAGGTGCGAAGTGTGGACCGTCTGCACACTGTCCGCACAAGCACAGGGTACCAAGTGGTATCCAATGGTACTTAGTGGTATCTAGCTGGGTACCCTATACTTGTGTGCGGAAGGTTCTTCTCGTCCGCACTCTGCACCTAATATTCTCTCAAGGATAAGGGGAGTATCTGTGTCAACCCGAATTATGAGGTTGCTCAAACGGACCTCATTAATGAGCTAGATAGCAAAGATTGAGCGTTTAAAAATTATTAATATATCCTGCAGGTAAAATATACTAGAATTCATAAGCTAAAGAAGAGATTTGTCAAAAATATTTTAAAAGTATAACTCTCTTCTTTATAATGAAGTGATTTATTATGTCATTTATATAAATACAAGAAAATCGTTTATTGTCGACGGATTTTTTTCAGCAACTTTCCGTCGGACTAGTTTTTCGCGGCTTTCCAACATATTTCCTGCGTAATATGTCCGACTAATTTTTCTACATATTTTCTGGTGGCTCCCTGGCGTCTTTGATTCCGACGGCTTTTCCACATATATATTCACCAATTTCCGCCGGAAAAATCTTAATTTCTGCCAGTAATAAGTAATTTTTCTGTAATGTATTATAACAACAGCCTGAATCAATCTACTCTCTTATATAATAAGCAAGTTGAGTTGAACTCGTAAATGTGAGCTCATATGCTCAACCATGATTTATTAGTAAAGCTCAAGCTGAGGGTAACTCGAGCGAGCTCCATTGATTGATTTGATTTCATGCATATTTTAACTATTCGGTTATGATTTAGTAAATGGTGTCTCAAAGTTCTATGAGTTAATGTCTAGCAATGTGTGTATATGAAAGTTTTACATCTATATATAACAAATCTATGGTAGTAGATAAGAAAAAATAAACCATGCATGGGGCTATGCTAGATCATATTGATAGAAATGTTTTAGTATCTTTGCAAAGAAATTAGGCTATTATCGATTGATATTTATATTAAAAATAGGACATTTTTTGTTGTTAAACCTATTATTGATGGCCTTTATGATGAAATCCAGCTGTTGATAAAACTTTCATCGAATAGTGAAATAAATTGATAATCTATTAGAACTTTTTACAAATAAATTAGTACTTGCATGATTTTCGATCATTAATTATACACAATTTTAATGTTGGAAAATTTGTAATTAGTTAACAATAGATTTACCAACAATAATTCTATCAGTAGGATTAATTGCCGAAATTAATTCTGTTAGCAAGTACCATATATTATCAAAAAATTATCAATGAAATTTTCATTGTAAGTTCACTTTATATGGAGTTTGTGAAAGAAATTATGCCGATAATCCTAAGACAACCCTTAGATAAACTAAAAAAAGATATGATATGAATTGGGTATTTCTAGGGATCCAAATGAGCCGAGCGTTCGACAAGGCGCTCGAGACTCGGCTCGATAAGAGTTCGTTTATGTTCGTTTGATAAGCTAAACAAACAAGTTTGAACACTTTGATAAGTACTCAATACCTTAATAAACAATCTTGAACAACGTGTCGTTATGCTCATTTATGTTCGTAAACAAGCTCGGTTAGAGCTCAATTACAGCTCATGTTAAGCTCCATTTGTCTTAAAATATATGAATAGCTTTAAAAATAAATATTATTAAATTAAAAGAAAACGTTAAAAAAAATTTCGATCTACGCTTTCCTGGAGAATGAAGAAAAAAATAAAAAAAAAATCCCACGCTATCCGCCTCTGCTCACGCTTTAGTCCAACGCCGTGAAAAAACTCTTTACATTACTCTATAAATGAAGAAAATATGATTGTCAATCGAACGAAAGTGGGAAGGCGGAAGCAAGGCGTGTTCACCTGCAGTTTGTGAGCACACCGACCGCTCGTTAAAGAGTGCCTCGCTAGGAGGCATGGCAAGCATTAATAAACAAGCTTGATCATGAACACGAACTGAGCTTGATCAGCGATATTTTTTTAAACGGTATTCCCAATTTGACAATGATAGTGGCTTCCATGTTAGAGATCGATTGTTCAGGGTGACACCTTATGAAGCTCAAACGATTAAGAATTAGATAACTCAACTATCTAAATCTTGTTCTAGAATTTGTGTCCAAAGATCGAAGGTGGTACTTATATGGTACACTATTTCTAAATATCTAATAAGAGCAAAGGGATCTGGCCAAGGGCCATATAAGGTAGAAAATTTAGTCAAGATTATTGGGTATTAAATGCATATAATCAATGATCACAACATAATGGAAATAAATAGCAAACAAAATAATTGTTAAAAATGGAAGGAAATAAGGGAAGGAAGTGCAACTAATTCAACAGTCCAATTGAGAAAATAATCTATAGGAATGGCCCCCTCCATTGCCAAATATAGCTTGGTTTGATTGTTCCAATCATAAGGTTGGCTTTAGAATTGATGGTTGATTAATTGAGAATATTTTTTGGTGATTAATTCATTCCAATTTATAACCATCTGACTATTCTTCTAAATTGGTAAGAGATCATGACAGAGAGCTCAAATTTCAACACTTTTTCATAAGTTTGAAATAAATATTGATTATTTTTAGCTTGAAAATGAGACTGCTTGTGTTCTGGATCTTCGTACAAAGCTAAGGCATTAATCTTTATATTTCTCTACCGTCGCGAATTTTCCAGGACGCAACACCTCACATATAATTTTTATGCATACTTCAAATATTAAGCTTAATTTAAACATTTAAAGAAGTCACCCTTAATTAAAAATATTTGTATTTATGAAAAACTTATAATACATACATAAAGCGCCTTTATTGAAAAATTTTGAAGCTCTAAACTCAATATGATAGTTTGCTTTGTGAAATGACAAAGGTAGGGCTCTTTTTTTATGTGAGCAAGATGATTTGAACTAATTAATTGCTCATAAATTAAATCAATTTTTCTTTGTTATTGTCGTATTTGATAAATCCAATTTGAAAATGAGGATGAAAATTTGAATTTGATTGAAGGCTTTGCTGAGGATATCTCCTATTTGAGATTTTGTTTAAGTGAAGATAACTTTGATAATGTTTTGTCTGATTTTCTCTTTATGAAGTGAACATCAATCAAGATTTGCTTAGTCTTATTATGATATATAGGATCTTTAGAAGTGTTAATTATAGCTTCTTATTATATATCATTACTTTTGCTTCTTTAATGTGAACCTTTAGATCTTTCAAAAATAATTTGAGCCATATTACTTGACAAATTTTATGAACCATGGCCATAAACTTAGCTTAAGCCCTAGTTCTATTAACAAATATTTGCTTTTTTACTCTGCTAGTGATAATATTTCTCCACACAACTAAGTTGTATCCATAAGTCAAAAACTTCCAATATGAACTTTGAGAGATTATTTAAACTCTATTTTCATCAAAGTTATAATCAAAATGTGTGTCTCATTAAGATGAATCTAAACTAAAATTACCCACATATGACATGATTAAAACACTTGCATAGTTGCAAAAATTGTGTACGATGATGAGGGTTAAACACGAACTGACAAATGGAATGTTGTGATTTTTTGAAGAAATTATCAAAATATCCCTTTACATAAATCTACAACAATCCTTGCTTCAACAAATTTGAGGAGGCAAGAATGAGGCCACAAGAAGGATTCTAGAGAAGATAATCCAAAGATCTATATGCTAAGCCTCAAAGCCTACAATAAACAAATGTGTTGATTTGTGTCAGCACCATCAAGGCTAACTCTTATTGTGACCATGAAAGCTGACATCTATCCTCACTACCAAGACCAATGCCTATCATCTCAAATAAGGCTGATGCCATCATATCTTGACACCAATGTCGACATCAATCATCGACCTCATGGTTGACTTCCATTGTCGTCAATAAGGCAAAGGTTCGTCTTCAACACCAATGCTTCGTCAATAGGGCAGACACCCATCATAAACTCCAACATTGATGACCCACAGCTTACATCAATGGCAATCCCGATCATAATCTCTACCAAGACTACTACTATCTTATTTCTTGGTTTTTAATCTCAGCTCATATAAGAAGAACAATTGAGCATACCATCAACAATCTCATAAAAATTCAAAATTTTCAAAGCTTCTCCTAATTTCGCTATAGAAGTCTTTTTTTTTTCAGAATTATCCTACAATATTACATCAATATAGTAATTATGAATTTAAATGTTCTCTGTCCCTTCTTCTTTAGAATAGAGAATTATATTATTTTGATATTTTCTTCTAAGTTTTATTTTAGGACCTTTAAATACCCTAATTACGGAATCAGTGCACCACATAAGAGTATGTTAAGTTAATTTTGCAGTGTAATTAACAACTGAATTAATTTTGCATTTGCATTGAAATTGTATATTTTATATTGTTTATTGATCTTATTCTCTTTATCATTAATAATTTTAACAAGGGTATGTTAAGTTCTTTTTATAAAAAACCACATCTTAATTACATAATTACTCTCTTGATTAATGCTCAAAATTCGAATTTAGAATTAATTGAATTGGTGCCGTTGAAAAATATAAAACAGAAGTTACATTATTATGAATGCTGCTATTCTGCTAAAACACATTTAAAATTTTACATTTAGAGATAATTAACAGTTCTTAGACTCCTAATCCATCTAATTATTTTAAGTTATCGCCATAATTAAAGTTATTGCATTTTAGTAATTAAAACAACAAATGGTGAGATTTAAAATAAGTAAATTAAATAATTTTAAGATTTATCAATATCAAAACTATGTAATATTTTTACAGATATTTAAAAAAGATACTAAGAAGATTTCAAAATAATTTTTTAATTTAATATTAAAATTTTTAAAATTTATTTTCATCAAAATTATATCAAGATATTTTATTTTTGTTTATATTTTTTTTTTTTTTCTCCAGAGACCAGCCGTTTAGCACGACAAGCCGTGTATGTTTGCGAAACCTATCTCCGTCTCTGGGCTGCGTATTATAGTCATCTCTAACACAGGGAGAGATATATAGGGATCGTCGTCATCTCTCTCTAATTCGTCGCTGCCGGTACGCTAGGGTTTCCATTCGTTACTCCTTTTGGATCGCCTTTACCTCTTTAATTTTCTTAGATCTAGCTTTTTGGCTGCCCTTTCTAATTGTAGCAGATAGTTAGAGGCGCCTGGATTTGATTGTTGTTTGTCTGAGAAAAAATGGCGGGAGGATTTAGGGTTCTGCATCTTGTGAGGCCGTTCCTGGCGATCTTGCCGGAGGTGGAGACCGCCGATCGGAGGATTCCGTTTAGGGAGAAGGTCATCTACACCGTGATATCGCTATTTATATTTCTGGTATGCAGTCAGCTTCCCCTCTATGGCATCCACTCTACCACCGGAGCGGATCCGTTCTACTGGATGCGTGTAATTCTCGCTTCGAATCGAGGAACTGTCATGGAGCTCGGAATCACTCCGATTGTGACCTCGGGGCTGGTCATGCAGCTCCTGGCTGGATCTAAGATTATCGAGGTTGACAATAGCGTGAGAGAGGATCGAGCTCTGCTGTAAGTGATTGTTATTTTAATGCATTGTTTGGGAGTTTATTTATGTATTGCGTCCATAATTTTGCAGATGATGATTGCTAGCATGACAGGAGGTGGTTTTTTGAAAGATTCATGGTTTCTTTTTATTTTGTTTTTTAGTATTTGTGCAAACTTGTCTAATTCATAGCTAGCGTATTCAGTATTATAATTTTAAGTTTTTTTTTTCTATCGATTGACTTGACTTCCTGAGAAGATGATTGCGATCTTCTATTTGTAGAATCTTTCAAATGGATTGGAATTAAAAACATGGGATGCTGATGATATTTAGAGCGCCTTTCCTGATCTTGATTGGTGAGATGCATGATAATTATAATTTTGGGAGATTTACATACATACCACTTTATACTACTCTATTTACAGCCATCTGAACAAAATTGATTTTTTAGATACTCGATGAATAGTTAATCCATGATTAAATTTGATGAAAGTTAGTAGGCATATTTAATAATGTGACTTGTTGAATTTGAAGATTTTATAAGATATTAGGCATAAAGAGACAATTAGAAGATGATTGGTCATTTCCTCTTCAGATTAGAATGATTGGCGTGCACAAGTATTGTTTCATGTCTATGCTTCATAGCAACTCTCTACAAAGTCTTTTGTGCCTCTTTGCTGTCAGGTTGATCTTTATCTACTTGTTATATTTTTGGTAGTTCCATTTTGAGGAAAGTATCCTGAATTGATCATTCCTTTTCAAACTTCATATTAGTATGCTGAAAATCTTTGGAGTTATTTCCTTGGTTCAGTTTGCAGCTCATGAACTTATAAGAATTAGCACTTTTTCAGAAATGGTGCACAGAAATTACTCGGCATTCTAATTGCAATTGGAGAAGCAGTGGCTTATGTCCTTTCAGGGATGTATGGCAGTGTCAGCCAACTTGGTGCTGGAAATGCTATTTTAATAATCCTTCAGCTTTGCTTTGCCGGCATCATTGTCATTTGCTTAGATGAACTTCTGCAGAAGGGATATGGTCTTGGATCTGGTATTTCTCTTTTCATTGCTACCAACATTTGGTAAGCTTATTATTTTTCTAGCTTTTTTATCTTATTCAAGCACATACATAAAAGTTGCTTGTATTTTATCTGAATTGCAAATGCTCTTGCAGTGAAAATATCATTTGGAAGGCTTTCAGCCCTACCACCATTAACACTGGGAGGGGTGCTGAATTTGAAGGTGCTGTTATTGCATTGTTCCATTTGCTTATTACCCGCACAGACAAGGTCCGAGCATTGCGAGAAGCTTTTTATCGACAGAATCTCCCAAATGTGACCAACTTGCTTGCTACTGTTCTAGTTTTCCTCATTGTTATATATTTCCAAGGATTTCGTGTGGTTCTGCCAGTGAGGTCAAAGAATGCCCGGGGACAGCAAGGCTCTTATCCTATCAAACTATTTTATACATCTAACATGCCTATTATATTACAGTCAGCACTTGTTTCAAACTTGTATTTTATTTCACAGGTATGTAGTTATCTCAACTTTTCGTTGTCAGCGGTTACCAATTCTGAAAAACTGTAATATCTTTTTCCTTGTTGTAGTTGCTTTATAGGAGATACAGTGGAAATTTCCTTGTAAAATTGCTCGGCATATGGAAGGAATCTGAATATACTGGTCAATCTGTCCCTGTTGGTGGCATTGCCTATTACATTACAGCGCCATCAAGGTGATTTCTAGATCTTACAGATTCAGTTCTCTTACATCTTAAATTAGAATATGCTTTAACTTGTTTTGTCTATAGTATTTCTCTTGCCATGCTAGCATGTATTTATTTCGCTGTTGATCGTACAACATGCAACACTTTATTGGCAGTTATGCTCTATTTTTCATGTTATTTATGTGGTCCTTTTGTTTGAACTGTGGCACAGTTTGGCAGATATGGCTGCAAATCCATTCCATGCTCTCTTTTACATAGTTTTTATGCTGTCGGCTTGTGCACTGTTCTCAAAGACTTGGATTGAAGTTTCTGGATCATCAGCAAGAGATGTGGCCAAGCAGCTTAAGGTATGATTGTAGCCTTCATTTATTTCTGATCATAATTTGTTTTTATATGTTGATAGAAAATGAATTCAACTGGTTATTTTCCAGGCATATAATTGTTTGATCAGCATGAAAATTAAATATGTATACTTTTCTACTGTCTCTTTTTTTACTCCTTGTGGGTGGGAGGTTTTATGTTTCTAGATCACTATTTTCTATGCTTATTAAGGACTATTTTGTTTAGGATATATCTTTAAGAGACTTTATGTAGAGAAATTTTTATATTATCTTAAATGAATGACTTGATATCATAGATTTAAAAATGGCACTGGCATCTATAGACAAATGTTCTATTCACTGATTGCCATGTTTATTTCTGAGCTAAAATGTCTGTACCTGGTCTTTAAAGGCCTCTTATGAATCAAGCTTGTGACAATTTATAATGCAGCTGTAAAGAAGTGCTTTACCTTTTATCTCTTGTTTTCTGAAGCTTTAATTGTACCCATATAATCTTTTAATCACAAGAAAACTGTTCTTTGTTTCACTATGTATTTTTTTTTTCATTGAAAAGGCTTACCAACTTTAGCTTGTTTATTAAAACAACTTTAATTTGTTTTAACAATATTGTGAGATTACATATTGTTTTTCTATCTTCTAGGAACAACAAATGGTGATGCCAGGTCATCGAGAATCCAATCTACAGAAGGAACTAAACCGTTACATTCCAACTGCTGCTGCATTTGGAGGTATGTGCATTGGAGCTTTGACAGTCCTTGCAGATTTCATGGGAGCAATAGGCTCTGGAACCGGTATTCTTCTTGCCGTAACTATCATATATCAATATTTTGAGACCTTTGAGAAAGAGAGAGCCACCGAACTTGGTTTCTTTGGTCTCTAAACTCTGCCAGCAGGTTTGATAGCCTTAAAACGCTGAGCCTTTTCTTTAATGTTTTTCCTTGCCGAACCAGTCAGGCAACATAGGTATAAAACCTTTTAAAATGAGGCTTAGAATTATTACAGTTTTATTTCATGATTGTAAGCAATTAATTGCCCTTATTAGCACTGTTGATTTGAGTAGCTTTACATTTCTGCAAGTCATTTCAAATTGTAGGCACAAACTCAAGGTATTTGATGTTCCAACTTTTTGGCATTTCCTGTAATTGTGGAATTACTGCTTCGTTTTGTAGACATCACCATCTTTTTACATTATGATAGTTGAATATGCTTTTTGATTGCATGGCTATGGAAAGTTATTGGCTCTAGCAAGTTTACTTTTGAACAATGTAATTATTTTATTCTATTAAGATGGTAATTTAACATGAATTGAAAACTATATGTCATGAGTAATTTACCTGTTTAAGTTTTGCATTCTTTTTGCTGCTTAGATTGATCTTTTGAAGGAAGGTCCATTTTATCTTTTGCGCTGTGTTGGAATGCTTGAAAATCCAGAGGGGGACAAAATTGAAAAAGTTGAAATCAATATTTGTGTCTTCAGTCGTAGAAATTATTATGTGAAGACGTCGAATACAGTTTACTGTCCGGAGACCAATCAGAATGCATTATGTCAGCAATATCGAGCCGTTGTACCAAACAAAGTGGGGATGTGGCGCATTATGGTTGATCTTCAGACGACGTTCGGCATCCTTACTGAATAATTAATCCTTCAGTGGACCCATATATTGTTGAACTGTTTGAATGATTTTCAATTCCTTCCGCACCCCTCAACTGTCCTTCAATCAAAATAAAGCTCGAACGTGATCTAAAATTTAAAGTATTGTTCAAACATATTTATCAGTTTAACTTAGGCCATAAATTTGAGTTTATTTGAGCATGATAAATTATATGTTTGATGTAAATTATTTAATATAATATAGTCCTATTATGACATATAACTGAATTTAAAAACTTTAATAGAAATAATTAGATAATACTGTTTGATGCTTCATCATATTTATGGGATAAATAATTATGACTTTTAAATTTCATATTATATAAAATATACGATAAGTCATTATTAATTATTAATTTTTTTGGTGGTGCCGCTTAGTCAGTCTATTCTATATGATGACGCTGTAAGTAAAACAAATCAAACGGCAGATGCCATGTTGCGGGGATTTCACGTATGTTGTTGTTGTTGCGTGCATATTCTTCCAAGCAAATTGTCTTAGCAGCTTTTTGAAGACTTCGGCCGGTTCTTGGTATATGTTGTAGTTGTATATTATGAATTATTGGGCAATGGTCCCTTCTTAAGCGAAAATTATTAGGTCCGGATATTTAATTAAAATTTGTCATGTGGATTGTATTTTGACTGCGTTTTATATATACTTTACCTGCGCTTTCACTACGATTTTTTACTGCGCTTTGACTGTGCTTTTTGACTTCGCTTTACCTGCATTTTACATGCCCTTTTGGCGTGCTTGATTTAAATTTTTGCGGACACGTGTGTATTCTACATGTCAGTATTTTATTGGACACCGGATATATCTAATAATTTTCCCTTCTGAAGGGCTTACGATGGATTGAGCATGGGAGAGGTAACAAGATTTTTTTTTTTTTTTAAGGAGCATAAGCCGAATATTTTTAAAAAAAAAAAATAAAAATAAAAGTTTTAATATAAAATATAAAATATAAAGATATGTTGATTAAAAACTTACAATTACAATTAAGAATGAAATGTATAATTTCTTCATCTGAGTTTCATTTTTTTGCAAGTATTGTATGATCATTTTGAAAAATTATGATAGCTGGTTGGGTCGTTGATGTACAATTACAGTTAAGAATTAGGTTGCAACTTGTGACTTGCCTTTGTTAATCTAAAGTAGACGGGTCGTTGATGTGCTCTCTCTATGAACTTGATGAACAACGAGATGTCAATGGTAGGCGATGGTATAGGTTCAATAATGGTCAGCATATGAGTGGGCGGTCCGACGATTGTCCGTAACCGGGCGATAGTTCTTGGGTAGAACTTTAAGATCCTTGAAACATCAAAACTCTCTCGAATCTCCAGCCATAGGGACCAAGCACCCTGAAAAGATGAAGAGTGGGTTTATTTATAAATTTTGAGAGTGACATGACTCATAAATATGAAGAAGATTCAAGATAAATCTGGAGTGCTCTATCGAATAGCCTATATAGATTCCCTTGATCATAGAGCTTTCATAAAGCATTAAAAATTCTTAATGATGTCAGAATTCAACGATCTTGAGCTCCTTGGATTCCTTTCGTTGAGCTGCTCGATTTGATTATAAGCATGTCATATTTAAAGATCACTTAATCATCCAATTAATGCTTTGAATCTTTCAAATATGCTTCGACCACTTGAATTGGATCCATTTGGGCTCAATTGGATTTATTTCGTTGCCGTTGGGTTCGTCTCCTTGAGGTGCTCAATTTGATTATAATTTTGTTGAAATTGAAGTTCTGATAGTACTGAATTTAAAAATGATATTTTATTTGCAATGTAAAATAAATAAAATAAAATTGTTAGTTTTAAATATATTTCTTCTGTATATGCAATCAGATGAGAGTGCCAAAAATGATTATCACATTTTGGATTTAGCCTAAAATAGGTTTAGGCTAGCAATTAAGTAGAGCTTAAAATCCTAAATGCAACTGATCTCAACTTGAATTGCTTAAAAAAAATGCTGTCTAATTTTTTGCGAAGGAACGAATTTTATATTATCATAATAATATTAAAAAAATTTATTTTTTTATACGAATGGATTTTGGATAAGCCACACCAAAGAGTATAGCTTCGTTTGGTTGTCCATAAATTTTTCTGTTTACGATTTCAATCGTTGAAAAGTTACTATTTTAATGATTGTTTATGCCACTTTTTCAAAACACCTTTTGGTATAACTCTAAATTTTCGTCGATTTGAGAAGAAAAAAAATTCTGCTTCTCGTTATAGTACCACCGTTTAAAAATGAAAAAAACGTCGGGGGAAACAAAATGAAGCCTATATTACCTAAGCAGTAAAAATATTAAAATAAATCCTTCGCATTTAATTTATTACAATTAATCAATTAATAAGTCATTAAATTATAATTACTTGGAATATTGTCTTATATTAATTATGATGTAATATACTTTCTAACAAATTATTAATTATCATTATTATTATTAATCAATCAAATAAATTAGGTGTCAAATTACTAATTAAAACTAAATTAGTTATAATAACTAAAATTAATTAATCAAAAATATCACTTACTATGATATTATTTGTGATGTAGAGATTATGTAGAAGTTGTTGAATTAAAATAATTTAATAATTTAATAATTAACTAATTGATAAATAATTAAATTATAAAATCTTATTTTAATAAAAATATGAAATAAATAGTCAAATAATCATCAGAAATATATCAATTCCTATTATGCCAAATAATTTTTTAGATTTAACTATATAAGAATCTATCAAATATGGATTTACAGAATTTATTTACTAAATACTATTGAGAAAATCCTACTTGCGGCGAAATAGAAAGAAAGAGATGGCAACAGAGAAACCGGCCGGACTCTTTGCCGCCGCGGCTCTCTCCATAGCCCTCGTCTCCTACCTTCTCTTTTCCCACCAAACCTCGGCCATTCTTCCATGGAGAAAAGCTCCCCGCAAATGCCCTCGCAGGAAACGCAAGGAAAGGAGGGGCCTTGTCGAAGCCATCGGAAACACGCCTCTAATCCGAATCAATAGTCTCTCCGACGCCACGGGGTGCGAGGTTAACTACTCTTTTCCCAATTTCTTCAGTTTCAATTCTTCGATTTGTTCCGTTCTTAACTAAAGATGCCAATTTTTTTTCATCTTTTTCATAGATTCTCGGGAAAGCTGAGTTTTTGAACCCTGGGGGCAGCATTAAGGATCGCGTCGCGGTTAAAATTATTGAGGAGGTGAAATGCCCGGCCTTGTTACTTGTTAGAGTTTTCCAGTAGTTTTAAGAATTATGAGAAATAACCAAGCTAATTGCCATGTGTGGTTTCTGTTTAGCCTTAATTTATTCTTTACAAACTGGAAATGTAGGCTCTGGAGTCTGGAGCTCTTGTGGAAGGTGGCATAGTGACCGAGGGGAGTGCTGGAAGTACTGCTATAAGCCTGGCCACTGTTGCTCCTGCGTATGGATGCAAATGCCATGTTGTCATCCCAGATGATGCGGCTGCTGAAAAGGTTTGATTACATTCATGATCATAGTTTTATCATCTGCAATTGTTGTCATGAATCATGATCCTTGAACTCTGGTTTGGCTATTATTTGTTGCTTCCCGACCTATTGATGCCTGTCACTAGGGGTGTAAATAAGTTGAGTCGAGTCGAGTGTCTACCTAATCGAGCTAAGCTTGTTTAGCTGTTACTAAGCTCGAAATTAAATAAATGCAGTAAAACCCTACATGCTATCCAATTATTCTATATCAATATCAAAATAGTATCTTAATCACGTGCTCAGTATATCTGATGTAGAAGTAGATGTGTAAGTGATGTTGAGTTGGAAATTACACATGCGTGAACAGAGATTGATAATTAATTAACTCCCAATGAACTTAAATGATATTATTTATGTTAAGATTAAGTTCTGGTCTTCACATTTCAAATTAACGATGACAATTTGATCATAATATGAATAGGGCAGTTAAATAAAATCACAACTAGATCACTGACCGTGAGTTCTTCTCGATTCTTAGCAAAAGCGATTTTTAAGACCGAACGAGTCGGACGATTGATTCACAGTCAAACCGTCCAGTTCAATCCAGTTTATTTATTTAGCTGACCAGACTGTTGATGGAAAAGAAATTTATTTGAATTTCAATAGAATTGATGCTCTATATAGATAGATACCAACAATAGTGAGTTCTTCTCGATTCTTAGCAAAAGCGATTTTATCTTTAAGACCGAACGCATCGGACGATTGATTCACAGTCAAACCGGCCAGTTCAATCCAGTTTATTTATTTAGCTGGCTACTATGTTTAGTGTAGTCATCATCAGCTCTTTCCTTTTGTTGAGACTGTTGATGGAAAAGAAATTTATTTGAATTTCAATAGAATTGATGACTCTATATAGATAGATACCAACAATATAATAGGAAAAAAATAACATTAGGTATATTCTTAATTAAGATAATATAGTATATAATAATTGTATAATTAATTATAGAATCTCTTCATTATTAATATTTCAATCTGGTATGATAACACCCTTATTGATGTCCAATTTACTACAGGAACTGATAATCTGAAATTTACTGCAGGAACTGATAATCTGAAATTTAGTAGTATTGTTAATATTAAACATCCATTAAATTATAAGAATCTGATCCTTGAATCAAAATGATCATCACTGTCTTGACCAATTGGGACGCAGCCTTACATGCTATCTTGTACTGGCATTTTTTTAAATATTGTCTAACCGTTACATGCTATTTTATATACTATGGTTCTTACTTTTGTTGTATGCGAAAGAATTCTATATTTATTGGAGAAGTTATAATTTGCCCTTAGTACAAATTTTTGAAGGAAACTGATTCAATTCCTAAATTTGGAGTGAAAAAAAGGATATTATCAGAAACCTACATGCTGATTAAACATAATTTTCTAATTTATTCAGTTTCATGTTGAAATGTTCTCAGTGTAAAGTTAAAAACAGCAAAGATAACAAAATTATGATGCTAATTCAGAGTTCAGACATATAGAACAAATTTTCATCCTTTTTTGAGGATACAATTAGTCAAAGTAATATGCTCAATGCAAATTTAGAAGCATAAATCTGTGTAAATTCTTCTCTATAAAATCTTTCCCCCTCTAGCTAATACTGGATTTTTGTTACCAGGCTCAAATTATTGAGGCTTTAGGAGCGAATGTAGAAAGAGTAAGACCAGTTTCCATTACACACAGAGACCACTTTGTTAATGTTGCCAGGAGGAGGGCCTTGGAGGCGAATAAATTGGCTGCAAAACTTGGAGAAGCTTCTGAAATCAAAGACAATGGCATGTCAAAAGACTACTCAAAAGGAGGTTTCTTTGCTGATCAGTTTGAAAATTTAGCAAACTTCCGTGCCCATTATGAGGGCACTGGTCCTGAGATATGGGAACAGACAGAAGGGAATTTGGATGCCTTTGTAGCTGCTGCTGGAACTGGTGGAACGGTTGCAGGAGTTTCACGATATCTTAAGGTTTCAGTATAAATTCATATACCTTTAGACTCTGTTTGGTTTGAAGGAATTGAAAGAGAGAAATTTAGAAGGAAATGGAAATATATATGGTAAAGGAATTAAATTGAAATGAGTTTTCACTCACTTATTTGGTTGAGGAGAAATTAATTGCAATTTCTTTTTCCCCATTTTGTCTGTTGACATGAAATATAGTTTTTGTTTCTTAGTCACTTTGATAACTCAATAAATTCTCTAGTGTTGTTTTTCCATTTGTTTGCATTTATTATATATAAATTCAATTTTCTACTAAGCACATTGGAGCCAAACCTCTAATATGAAAATATGAAGTAAAATATATTTGCATTCTCCTGAATTCCCTTAAACCAAACAGGCCCTTAGTATTTAACCTGTTTAGATTGGCATTAACGTTGGTCACCTATTGTTCTTACTGCAGGAAAAGAATCCTAATGTGAAATGTTTTCTAATTGATCCACCTGGATCTGGACTGTTTAATAGGGTCACTAGAGGAGTTCTGTACACAAAAGAGGAGGCTGAAGGCCGCAGGCTCAAGAATCCTTTTGACACCATCACTGAAGGAATTGGAATCAACAGATTGACAAAGAACTTTTTGATGGCAGATTTAGATGGGGCTTATCGAGGCACTGATAAGGAAGCTGTCGAAATGTCCAGGTGAGTACAAATTATAAAATATAGGTGCTGATGCTTGAAGCTTGAAACTCACTCAAAACATTCTCAAGTAGAATTTTAGTTCTGCCAAATACTAACAAGACAATAACAAATGATGTAAAAAAAATTAGAGATAATGAATAAAAGAACCAAAAAAAGAAAAGTCAAGTTTTATATTGATACAAGGAGATGACTTCCCCTTGGAATTAAATAGTTGCACTTGTACCACACTCAAATTACACATCCAACATTTGCATGCACAATATTAAAAAATATAAGTAAAAAACTTTATTTAATGAAATTTATTTTAGCAAAGAAAATATCATGATTTATGTATGTAACTCTTAAACTTTAGGATTTAGATACATATCACTCACAAATCAAAAATATAATAAAAAACAACACCTCCCGTTTCACCCTATCTATGGATGAAAATGAACCGAGTCAAGTTGAGTACTATATTGTTTAAGTCCATTCATTTATTTTCTTATCTAGATTGAGTCAAGCATGAACATGATCTAGGTTTTAAAATCAATTTTGTTTGTTAATTTCTTATCGAGTTCAAGCCGAAATCAAGCTTTAATTAAGTGTAACTAATTATATGTTTGACACTAATAATTTATGCATGTAGTCTAATTGCTAGGCATAATTAGATTTATAGATTTTTATAAAAAATAACATAATTCATTAGGGGTTATTTGATTTATTTATTGAAGTTTAAAAAATAATAAAAAAATGTTTAAATAAATCTATCTAGCTATTTATTTAAAATTTTCATATACATATGCATTTAATAATATATAATTTTTAAAACATATAAGCTATAAGAAATTTAATAGAATATAATATAGAATAAGTCATCAAATAAAAAAATTAAACCATCAGTAAATGAGCCTCTTACTATATTGTTTAGCAAGTTACTATTAAACAACAAACGAGCATGTTCACAAACATGATTGAACAAGCGAGCCAGTGTTCAAACTTCTTCATTTATATGGCAAGTTTTAAAATTTTGTGCAAGCTTATTTGATTATGTAAATAAACAAATATAAACGAAGATTATGTAAACGAGTATGAAGTTGTTTATTAAGTGCACTTGTTGGCTTACAGCCCTAACCAGTCAATGCACCATTGGTCTCGTCACCCTTTATTGTCAGTAACATCACCCCTTCACTCATCGTCATTCACTGTTAAGCCTCTTGCCCTCATGTTTCCTCTTTTATCTTGATCTCTCTCTCTTTCTCTTTGCTTATTATCCTCTTTCGCTCCTGCTGAAAGAAGTCGTGGAAGAGCTTGCTAAACGAGGCCTCCACGTGTCGGGTGACTTGCTAAGAAGAAGAGGAAGCCACGCATGAGCTCGTTGGGAGAATGCATTGCTATGCCCAACAATGTGCTCGATGAGCTTCGTTGACTCTCTTAATGGAGTCCTAGATGATGTAAATGATAAATTTTAGATATTGAATATGTAATTCTTTATGTTTTTGTGTTTTAAGTGTCATTTATATTATTTAACTTCTTGGAATATCTATTTATAAACTCCTCATCATCTAAGCAATAATACATTTGATTATCCTATATTTACAATAAATCACCTGTTAGAACTTTCACCAGTTTTTTGTGTCACTTGTTAGAACTTACAAACATTTTTTAATGTTCTGTGTAATGCATTAATTTGATTTGATCTTCAATTAGTTATCTCATACTTCTATCTCTTAAAATGATCACACTTTTTTATTTTTTTGGCATCATCCATAAATTTCCTTTCAACCTGTAATGTTTAAACATGTTATCAGGTATCTTCTTAAAAATGATGGTCTTTTCATTGGAAGCTCTTCAGCTATGAACTGCATTGGAGCTGTTCGAGCAGCACGGGCTTTAGGACCTGGGCACACAATAGTAACTATATTATGTGACAGTGGGATAAGGCATCTCAGCAAGTTCTACAATACCCAATATCTAACTGATCTTGGCCTAGCACCAAATGCAACCGCTCTGGAGTTTCTTGATCATCCTTAAGACAATACTAAGCCGAGAGTCCTTCCTTAGCTTAATTGAGCTCAAAAGCTTATTCCAGTAGATTGGTGAGGAAACTTGCAGTGCAACATTGGAGTTTTCTTGTTTTTGCGGTGCAAGAGTTGAGCATGGCGGGGATTGTGAATTGCTGGACCGCTGCTCGAGTAGAAAAATTATTTTGTGCGGATATCGGATGTCGTCCGGAAGCGAATCAAAGCATGCTACTTCACTTTTTGCTGTGTACCACGGTTGTATATCGTGTCTGTGTACCCGTTGTGTACCGGGTGTCATGGTGTGCTCTGATTCGCCTCCAGACAGTCCGTTGTCCGCACAGAATAATTTCTCGCTCCAGTGAGCCTATTAATTGTAATATAGCCTGGTCTTTTGATATCTTGGTCCGCAGAGCTTGCTATTCTCAAGCGTATTCTTATATGGGCATACAATATGAAAATAGGAAATTGCTTGTTTAATTTGCACTCTTTATGAAATTACATGCGTTGGTATAAGTGAATTTTCTTAAATTTTTTGGTGTTCATTTTATAAATCATTTTCACCATAGTATTCTAGAACTATTTTAATATTTAATTAATATTTTTTCAGAATTTTTATAGTTGTACATTTTAAGATTTAAGTAGTTTTATATAAAATTTTAATAAAAATTAAATAACTTCAATAATCATCAATATATCCTTAAGATATTTTGCGAGTTTTTTTTAAGTATTAAAGAAACTATCAAAGTTTGAGAGCACTGTACCAATACTATAAATGTTATATGTTGTCATACTTTGTGATTCATGCACGTTGAACTGTAAATTCTATTATTTTTGTCATACATGCAAATTTTTTATATATTAATGTAAAATGATAACTGCCCGTACTTATTTAAGTATTGATAATTCTATTTATATATGTTGCAAAATAATTGTTCAAGGAAATGTTAACTTGTTTGTATAAGGGCTTGTGTAATATAACTATTTATAGAGAGGTATAAGGGCTTAGATAAATAAATTATATTATAGCAAGGAGGTATAAGAGTCTGAATGAGTAGTTAACTTAATGTCAGAATGCATAAGATAGGCATAAGAGATTAAGGTTTTGTTTGTGACAGCTTTTGATCATTGCTTTTTATCTGTTTTTAAGAAATTTTTGTACTAAAAAGTTGTTTTATAAAGCAATAAGAAAATTATCCCAAATGAAGCTCGTGTGTATATATGAACACTTCGGATATATAAAAAAAAAGTTTACGGCATTTTTATCATCTTATTATAATGCAATGATTTTGAGAGGATATAATGCTTATAGTACAATTTAAGAAGTGTTTTGTTTATACTAAATTTTATATTGATATCATGGACTTAATAGAGTGATTGACATGTTAAAACACTATATTTAGTATAAATGTTTGTGTATACTATTTTATGTTTTTTTTTTTTACTTGTAAAATGCTTTATTGTTTACAATATGATAAGAGATTGGACTATTTATATTCTTTTTGTCTAATAGATTATAAATTTTTATAGGTTTCATGTAACCTACTAAGTTGTTGATGCTTATCCCTACTTTATCTGAATGTGTTGATTTCAAGGAAGAAAAATGGAAGGAGCAAGTTGATTAGAGGTAGAGGTTGCAAGTTTATATTTATAGGTACGCCTTGTTAGACTATAGTTATATATTTTGCAATTATAGTGATATTATATTATCATGAATAAAAGAATGTGTATCATGCTTATTATATATGGACACTTTTGATTATTATAGTCTCATGATATGAACGGAAAGGATGTTGATGATTTCTACTTTATTATATTTTTGAGGATATATTAGTGCCTATATGTTCTAATAAAAAAATTCCTTTCAATTATTGTGCATCCAACCTGATTAGCAACATTGGGAAGTTAATTGGAGGAGCAAATGATCTCCAATATTTTTACGCTTCTAGTCAAATCAATTATCTCAATGAGGCAATCCAATTAGCCTAAATTCCTCATATTCCACATTATTAAGACAACTAAATTTCGAAAGAATAGTCTATGATTGAGGGAGATAATATAGGTCGTTCGATGAAGTGTTCCAAATTTGGAGGATGTGTTTATAGGGCATGTAACTCTAAAAAATCTTTAAATAGTATCCTACACCTTGCTGAAGAGAGGGCTTGAACTATTAATTTGAGATTCAAGAGAGTTAAGAGGCTTGAAGTGTAATGCCCCATAATGTAATTTAGAAGAATTATTTTTTTTATCTTTTAATTTACAGAACCAAAGCTATCTAATTTTTGTTATCAATCTAAATATTAGCATAAATAAAATTATAGATCAAAACATCAATATTAATATTTGTATTTATTTCTCAAAAATCATATACACTACTCATGATCTACACAATCATACCACAACAACTATATCCTAGTACAAAAGAATAGCTAAAAAAAATCTGAGGAATCTTGATCAATCTCATACTCCTGATCCTCTGCCTTGAACTAAAAATATTTAACCACATATAATAAGCTAAACAATCCAGCAAAAAAACAAATCTTATAACTGACCTCAACGAATGGTAGATAACTAATATGCATGTCAACATCCAAATCACAATAGTAGTATGCACATAATCATAAGACAATACATTGGAGAAATCAGTAAATTAAATCAGTATGTGTCAAATCACTAAAACAATCAACATATCAATATTACAATAAGTAGAGAAATCATGTAAAACATCAAATCAAAACATCAATAAAGACTGTCAAAATCATGTAAAAATAATTATATCTATATATAACATGCTTAGAAATATCATATCAGTGTCCAGTGCACATGCTCACTATATATCACGTTATTAACATATCAATAACAATAGAATAGTAGCATCAGCATTATGGGTGGAAGTAACAGCCAAGCCTTATAGTGGAAGTGATTCAACATCAAGCATTCCAATAATCATATTAAACAAATCAATATCCTCGCTATAGTGGTGTTTTTTCAGTATCAGTAACCCGTTAACTCAGTAAACAGAGTCATTACTCTTTGTCTGTCATTATGATAATAACTCCTTATAACTTCCAATGAGTATCACATAAAACAATTGATGATAACATCAAAGTATAATATTTAAAGGAAAGTCAGTCATCCCACCATCTTGTACAGGTCAGTCATGTCAGTTAATCTCCAACCAACGTTAATGAATAACCACTATTTACTTATTTTTTTTCAATACATATTTTAAAAATTCACATTTTCAAAAATTAATTAAATTAGCAGAGATTATGTAAAACATCATTCTAAAGCTTTAATTAAACTGAAGTATTATTTTTATATGTCAAAATAAATTTCAAAGTATGCAAAAATCATTGCTTTTTCAAAACCATCATACAAAAAAATTTTAGAATATACTCAAAATGTTCATAATATCGATCTCTATAACATATAAAAATTACGCGGTGAAAGTTTTACCAATACAAAATTATCCTCATTTTCTTATAACGGAAATACAAATTTGATCAAAAAAAATCAAAAATACAATATTATTGAAATCAGAAATAAGATATAATTTCCTTCAACAAGAAGAGCAAATCTTCCAACATTTCTAACTGTAAAAAATCGCTCCATGGCCTCCTCATTTTATATAGAAAAGATTGATGAAATCGATTTGTAAAATGGACACATGACGGCCCCAAAATCCACACTTGTACCAATATGTGTTAATTTCTTAAGGATTTTCACCAGTATCAAAAAATTATGAAAAAGCTCGTGTAATTGAAATACTATAATATCAATGGTATGAAGAAGATGAATTTTAAATTTGAATTATGATGACTTAAAAAAATAATTTTCTGGGTTATTAAAATCTACTCACATTAAAAAAATATCATCACCAACATTTTCCTTAAGGATTCAGACACAAAATAGATATAAATTAAATCAATATAATCAAAACTCAAATCAAATAGTAAGAAATCATACAGTCATGAAGTTCATTATATCACATGTCATTCAACTATTTATGCAAAATAATGCATCATAAACTACTCATTCTATCAAACTCTCAATCAATTCATACATGTCTGATAACAATCAATTATTTCAATAGCTATGCTCTAATACCAATTTATAATGCTCCATAATCTAATTTGAAATTATTATTTTTAATCTTTTATTTTTTTAATCAATCTAAATTGCTAAAGAAATAAAATTATCAATCGAAACATCAATATTTACATTTGTATTAATTTCCCAAAAATTATATACAATACTTAGAATCTACACAATCGTACCATAATTAATGTGTCATGAGGTACAAAAGAATAGCTAAACTAAAAAAAGACATAGAACCTGAGGAATCCTGATTAATCTCATACTTATGATTCTTTGTCATGACCTGAAAATATTTAATAATATATATAATGAGTTAAACAGTCAAACAAAAAATCAAATCTTATAACTGATCTCAACGCATTGTAGAGAACCATCATGTATGTCAAAAGTAAAATTATAACAATAGCATGCAAATAAACATAAGGTAATACAATAGAAAAATAAATAACTCAATACAGGTGTCAAATCACTAAAGCAATCATCATATCAATACTACAATCAATAGAAAATTTGTATAAAGCATCAAAACAAAACTTTGGTAAGGACTGTCAAAATCATATAAAAATAATTGTATCAGTGTATTACATGCTTAGAAATATCATATCAGTGTTAACTCGGTCTTAATGTCTAGTGCATATGCTCAATATGCATCACGTGAATAGTAAATTAATAATAGTAGAATAATAGTAACATCAGCATCATGGGTGGAAGTAACAGTCAGTAGCATGCATTCTAATAATCATATTAAACAAATGAATATCCTAGTTACAGCAGTATTTTATCATTATCAAATTCTCATATTCATATATCTTTTTGGCCAAAGGGATAAAATAAAATGGCTTTTATTGGATTAGTGAGTGTTTTAAGATATTTTAAATAAAATAATAATATAATATTAATTTAATTAATTTAATTTAATCAACTTTTAATATAGAATTTATATAAATTCTTTTGAGACTTCAAAAACTATAAAGAAATATTAATAAAATAATTTATTTTATTTAAAAAATATTGGTAAAATCAATTTGCGAAACGAATACTTAACGGTCTCAAAATCCTCACTTGTACCGATATGTATTAATTTCTTAAGGATTATCACCAGTGTCAAAAAATTATGAAAAATTTTGTGTAATTAAAATATTATAATATCAGTGGTATAGAGAAGCCGATTTTTAAATTTATTTTATAATTGGCCCCTGAATAAATTTATTTATGTGGATTATTATATAAAGAATCTTGGAGTTTGACCCAAGCAACACCATCAAATAACCACCGCTTATCGCCACTATCGGACCACTACACAACCGTTGCAATTGGACCACCATTATTGAACCATAGTTGTATGAATGCCATCATTAAAACATCGCAGCTTGACCACTGTCGTTAAACCATTGCCCAATCGCAACCATCAGACCATTACATGATCCCCACCGTCGAACCGTCGTTGCACAAAAGATCCTTCGAAGATCGTCGTTTAATCACAATCCTCTAACCGCTATTGCCAAACTATGGTCCCTACCATCTGATATGAAACAATAGGGAAAAAAGGAATTTAATCGCTAGAATCAAAATTTCAACAGTTTGAGCAAGCAGAAATTAGGGTTTTTATGCATGAAAACACAAGAAAAGAACTCTTGATTTCTAGAGAATGAAAGTAAACAACAAGATATAAACGATCCTCTATTCGAGAGGAGGATCAATCTTTCCAAAACTCTTTAGATGCCGCTAAGCCACCAAAAAGATGCCCTAACCCTAATACAAACTCCTACTTAAAACAAACATAAAATAAACACCAAATGATTAAACAGCCCTCAAGCAATTTACATTAGATAGCGGACCCCACCCCAAGGGTGCGCCAGTTGTATTGTAGGAACATAGTAGGCATTAAAAGGAGTCAGTGGCCTGCGAACTAACAGGCTTGCGCCTTCTGTACTATAGGAGTTGGGCCCACGGTTTGGGCCGATTGATCCAATCATATCACCATCCTTGCTCAATCACGATCTTCCAACCACTGTCGATCAACTTCGGTCTTCCGACCGCTCTCGTGAATACAGTCACACAATCACCATCGCCCATCTATAATCCTCTTATCATTGTTCACCGACTTTAGTCATATGACCACCGTCACCCAACCATGGACATCCAATTACTATCACCCAACTATATTTCATCGTGTCCAATATGTACTCCTTTGACCACTATCACCCAGCTACAATTTACCATCACCTCACTACAATTTTTAAATCGCCATTGCCTAGGTATGGTACTTTGATCATTGTCAACCAACAACATCGACATCTACTAACTTCATTGTTTTTTATTGCTGGTAAGATATCTTATGTTTCATGGTTAAGGCCATTCCTCCTTTTTTTGATGATTTCAGCAGAAGCATATTAGTGCAATCATTGGAAGGGCAAAACAGAGCGAGAAAGAATCAAAAACATGAAATAATTTATGAGAGAACTATTGAAATAGAGAAGTAAAGATTATCATATCTATGAAAACATGAAAACTTTTGTTACAAATGCATGCAAACAGAAGCTTGCTGAACGTGCAAAGTGGTTGGAAGAGGAAAGGTTGCGTGGACGCCGTGAGGAGAAATATGATGTAGGTTGTACAGCTCCTTTTTAATGCCTGCTATGTTCCTACATTTTACTTTTATTATTTATGTGCTGTTTAATTAGGATTATGGTTATTTGTGGTGATTAATGTTTCTGTTGATGGCTTATTAGTGTTCATAAGGAACTGATTTGATCAACTTTTAGTGTATATACTGTAGAATTATTTGAATAATCTTCGTTTATGATTGAAAATTATTAATTTGCAAGCAGCTTTTTTGGTTAATTAAGAGAGAAAAAATGAACTTTTATTTTCTTTTGGACATACTTACACACTATACATTAATTAAATGCTTCATTAACCATTATTGCAAAATCACAAACTTTATCTTTTAATTTTGTCCCCAGTACGAGTTATGCAAATGAACATCTAATATTAGTCTTTTAATTGCTGCAATTATTTTGATAAAGTTGAAGGAAAGACAATGTAAAAAAGGATTGAAATGCGGTGCTTAAATGTACTGCTATTGAATTAATGAGCCTTTTGAGCTTCTTTTATTTGCACAATTCCCAATTGCCAAGTACTTTGAAAACTGCTGAACCTTAAACTACTAATATGGTTTTCATAGTATTTGAGATTGATTTTTTTTTTTTATTCTCAATAGGAACGAAGCAATTTGTCTGAAAATTTGCGCACTAATCATAATCTTGATTTCTATGAACTTTACTTTATTATAAAACATTAAAACTAATCCAGGGATTGAAATGAACAGTGAAGCAAATTTAAACTAAACATTGTAGCTTACAACGTGAAAAATAGATAATTTTATTTAGCAATCTAAAAGTAGATATGGGCATCAATCATATCAAATGTACGCATAATCGGAGGTGGAAAAGGATTCTATAACTGGAAGATGATAGTGAACAGCGACTTTACTTTTAACCCCTTAAAGCCCGTCATAAACTTAGGTTTTGTTTGGGACGGCTTTCTTACTACTTCTTAAAGCAGCTTTTTAGTACAAAATTTCTAATTTTTGTACTAGAAAGCTATTTTAAGAAGCAGTTAAAAAGCCGTCCCAAACGAAGCCTTAAACATTCAATGAATAATAATTAAAAGGAAACTGTTTCTGCATACAATTTTACATTCCCGTTACACATCTTTAGGGGTAGCTTTCAACAGTGGTTAGTCTCGCTGTTCTTCTACAGATCATACAGGATTGTGATAAACTCATTGAGTTTAGCTTGCAAAAATGTCAAGAGAGAAGCCTCTAAACTCTTTATTTATAATGTCAGAAATTGAATGGTAAAGGAGGGGTTGAAAACAAAGTAGGACGTAAACTCTTTAAATTATTGAATTATGAGCGGAATTGAAGCAGGACATCATGCAACTTTTGCTTGAAGGAATATTTTCACTAAATAATGAACACAGTTTATTGCAGCCGATTCAGACTTTCAAATTTGCCAATATCGCTAGAAAGTGTGAAGCAGTAGTATATTTGGAAGTCGAACATGTTTATGATTTTGTTTAAGAGCAATTAAATTTGTTCAAACCCTTCTCAAAGTGTATCTGAACATCATTAAAAACATTAAAGATAAAAAAATAAAAAAAATAAAAACTCATTTTAAGTGCACAACAAGACAGAAAAAATAAGCAGAAAATGTAACAAAATGAGTCCTCAAGTTGCACACATATGGTTTGCTGAAGCTAGCATGCCAATCACAACTTAATTATGGAAGAAAAAGTAAAGGTATAAATGCAAATTACCTGCATCAATTGATGCAGTCTAAGCAACAACTAATTCAACTGGAGCCCTGGATTCCAACCATAATTTAGCAGCAATATTTGTTGTCAGGAACCATCCAACCTTACCACTAGCTTCATGAAATGGAGCATTCAGCTCTCTCAAATGGGACTGCAATGCAGATGCCAACCCTCTTTCTGAATATTTATGCTTTCCATGACCTGTATGAATACCAAGCAATGGAGGCAGTTGTTCTCCATCCTCCATGGCTTTGGTCATATCACTCATCCATGCTTGCAGAGCAGTAAGAGCAGCTCCAAGTGACAGACTTCTGACATGTAAAGACCACTGAGTGGCTGACTTTGATTGTAGTGTGGAGTATATACCGACTTGAAGTGCTAAGTTAAGGAGCACAGAAGCCCTGCCAAGTTGATTTACATTTACACACATATCCATCAAACAGTTACAATAAGCTTTTTTCACTTCCTCACTGATACTACTAAGAAGCCGTTCAGCTTCCTTCTGCAATAGCTCATCAGAAGTTCCTTCATCCACCATGAGCTTAACAAAAGAACCCAACTGAGGATTAGATCTCTCAATACATCCAATCACCTTTCCTAATTCATCCTTTGGTGTTTGAGTCAGCACGTTCAGAAGACAACCGCAGAACCTATCATCCGGCGAAATGCCCAATTCCAATAGCCTATCAAAGGTCCTCACAACATCATTAGTCCTCTTAGCCTTCCCATAGCACTGGATGATCGAGGTAAGTACAAAGATGGTCGGTTGGAAGCCGGCTTCCATCATTGCATTCAACATTCTTTCAGCTTCTGCAACATTCCCGGCACAAGAGTAAGCTGTAATAACAGATGAATAACTCCAACTATCAGGCTTACACACATCCTGCAACCCCTTCATCTCTTCAAAAATCTCAACAGTTTCATCAATATACCCAACATCAGCACACATAGACAAAAGCATGTTATATAGAACCACATTGAGCTCCATGGACTGTCTCCTCATCTCCCTATACACAGCAATGGCATCCACGGCATACCGAGCTTGGGAATAAGCTCTGATAAGCGCCGAATAAGTAATTCTATTTGGTAATATCTTATTACCAACCATCTCCTTATAAATGCTCTTCACCTGCCATGGCCTTCCACCTCTACCCATGGCCTCCAACAACTTGTTGTAAGTGACCAAATTTGGCTTCACACCAAGCGCTTTCATTTCCTCAAACACATTGAGTGCACCATCGAAATTACCAGAAGCTCCATAAATTCGAATCACAGTCGCAAAGGTTACAGGATCAAGAAGCCATTTTTCTTTCCTTGCACGATCATATAGAGCAAGAGCCATCTCCACATTGCCCATGCGGCCATAAGCATCGATCATGGCTGAGTAAGTGACGTCATCTGGACTCAATCCGAATTCTGGCATCTTCACGAACCACTCCACCGCTTTGGCAGGGAGATCGCAAACCCTAGCGCAGCTAATTACAGTAGAAAAGGTGATGTTATCAAGCTTAATTCCCTTCTCCAGCATTTTCGTCAAAAGGCATTCTACGTCGTTCCAAGCCCTGCACTTTCTAAGGACTTTAAGCGTGACGTTGAAGAGGATTACTTCTTTTTCCAATTTTAAGTTTTGCAGGAACCAGTCAAGGGCGGAGAGCGCGGCGGCGGAGTTCTCCATGTTGTTGAGGATGATGATGGCGTCTGGCTCCGTTGGGGTGGTGGGGAGGGAGGAGAGGAGAAAGGGAACATCTGCAGGGGAAGGGTCGAGGGAGGAGGATAGATGGGCAAGGCGGGCGTAGCGGAAATCGGCGGAGCTACGGCGGAGGGCGGCGGCGCGAGGGTTGTTCGGGTTGATCCAGATTGAGTTCTTGAAGGGCTTTGGGCTTTTCTCGTCGGAGGAGGGCTCAGAGGACTCTTGAGTCTGAAAAGGATGGCTTTGGAGGGAAACTCTGAGGCGGAGGGGAAGGGAAAAGCGGTGCAGATGTCCAGGGGATCGGTGTGGGAAGAGGAGAGAGGTGGGGATGATGTGGAGGAGCTGGTAGGAAGGGGGAGAGTGAGTGGGAGACGTAGTGGGGAGAGGTGAAGAGAGGGGAAGTGACATGCTTACGATATTTGATCTTGAGAAGAGCGGTAAAGGTGAGATTTTGGGAAGGAGGAATGGAGATTTCTTATCGGCTACAGCTGCTCTGCCTCCATGGAGTGGGAGGTAGATGGTGGTGCGATCTTAAAATTTAATATCTTAATTTATATAGTATGTGTTAGTTTATTATTTAATTCCGTCAAAAATAATAATAATAATAATAATAACTCATTTATTAGGCACAAATCTATGTTATGTTTATATGAATTCACTATTATATGTTAAAAAATTTATGTCATTAGAGAATATAAAATCTAATATTTATATGAATATCCAAAATGTACTTATATAAGTTTATAGCAGACATAAAAAAAATTTATGTAAAAATTTTAAAAATAAAGAAATCATGAGAACTACCTCAGTTGAATAAATTCACCAAATAATCGAAGATTTAATAATCATAAAAGAAGATTGGATTATATACAAAATTACGAATAATTATATAATCCTTGTTGTAAGGATTATAGAAATTAGATCTCCGCAAGTGGAATATTAAAAATCTAGTAATATGAATAAAATTCAAGCGATAATAGTTGGATGACAAAAGTTTAGCAATGATAATGATGATGGTTGTTGATAGTCATCAATCGTGGTGGTCATCAGAAAATGCAATATATTCCTTCTGTAGGAAATAAGACTTATTTATATATTTTTTGGATGAGCGTTTTAGTAAATTTGACCATAATTCAAAACACCCCGATGAAGGGTTTATATTAATTCCCTTATCATAGATTATTTATTCAACATTTGAGTGCTTTAATATATCATAATCAAAAGATCTTAGACTCATTAAATTAATCTCATCATTTGCTCGATTTGAATTAAAAAAAAAATCAAGATTTGAAGGCCATTTGCTCCTTCAATTTATGTTCAAAAGTGTTTAAATATAGTTCAAGTGTTCGATTTGAATTCATTTGAACTCATATCAAATCATTTATAGTGTCGATGGGTTTGTATTGTCGAGACATTCAGTTCAACTATATATTTGTTGAAATTAAAGTTTAGGTGATTATGAATTTAATTTTAAAATTTTTGTATTAATCAATTGATTTTTTTAGAGGTTTCAAGTGTCAAATCACATACAAAGAAATATCAATAATGCAAGAAGAATTATGGCTAAGAAACCATCAAATGAACCAAACAAAGATCAACCATAGTGATATCTCATTAAGGATAGACAATCACACTCATGAAAACAAAACAAAAAAATTTAAAATCACAGCACAATCAAAAAAGCTTTAAAAAGCGGGGTAAAATATAAAAAGTGTTGTAAGATGACGCAACCATATTAAGATTAAGTCTTTATTTAGGACAACTTTTTTACTGTTTTGTTTTTCAGACTATAATCATAGTTTATGTTTGGCGATTGGTTTTTTATTGATTTCAAAAAAAAATTATGCTATGAAGCTATTTTTTTCAACAACATATGAAGCACAATAAGGAAAAAAAATTTATACCTATGAAGCACAATGAGTACAAAAAATTAAAAGTATACTGATCCAAATTTAGTCTAAAATTATTTGAAAATAAATTAGAACATAAATTATATTACACTACTCTTAAAATAATTTTAATAGTTATTGTTATTACTATTATTAAAACTCAAACTCTCAACTTACAATATATAATGACTTCATTTTTATAATAATTAAAATTACATTAAAATTATTAAAATTAAAAATGTTGAGATGAATAATCATATGAAAAAAATTATACCAATAGAATAAAATCAAATGGCCAATTTATCAAGGCAGACAAGATATATGAAATTTTGCACGATTATAATTATAAAACTCATCTTAATCAAATTTAAATCAAAATATATTCTTAATTATTTTTACCAAAGAACTCTTCCTCACACCTTAAAAAAGGAGTAAAGCGGTCGTGTGTAAAAACTTTTTCATTGCTTTTAAAAAATTTTTAATAAAAAAAATATTTTAAAAAATATTAAGAAAGCTGTTTGGAAGGATAACATATTTTTAACCTAAGCTTTGGCTGAGATTCTTTATATCCACAAAAAAAAAAAAGGTTTTAAGAATGAAATGTTATATATGAAAATAATAAAACACAGAATATTGGATTTAATTCATAATCGAAACAGTAAAAAAAAAAAAAATCAGATAATAAGTTAAAGTAGTGATGCAAATGAATCTACAAACAGAACTCTACCATGATTGAAATTGTTCAAATGTGAAAAGAAATATCAAAATTTGAGTAGCAAAAAATTGAGAACGGATTGCAGAATCATAAGTCCTCCAGCATATTTAGGCTTCGTTTGGGACGGCTTTTTTACTGCTTTCTAAAACGGAGTTTTAATAAAAAATTTTTACTTTTATACTAAAATTCCGTTTTAGAAAGCAATTAAAAAGCCGTCCCAAACGAAGCCTTAAACTTGGTTTGGAACAGCTTTTTTACTATCTCTTAAAGCAGCTTTTGAGTAAAAATAAGTTTTACTTTTTATATTAAATAACTGGTTTAAGAAGCAGTAAGAAAGCCACCCCAAATAAAGTCTTAATGCCGCCTCGTCACAGATAAATCAGCTGCGGTGATGTTTCATTGCTGCTTAAAACGCATATGAGCATAATATATCAAAGTATTTGTGTAGATCCGATAACTCAAATTTGCAGATGAAGCTTCTCAAAGACAAAAATGACGATGAAAGGCCCAGCTAAGTCCCCAAGAGCTGATCCTGCAGAATCATAAAAATTGTTATTAGAATCTACAAAGATCAAAAACATGAAGCAGGAGCTTATGAAAATGTTTGGTTAGAATATAGATTTCGATGAGAAAAAAAAATTTTTTTGAGGTTAAAGAATATCCTGAAATAATTTCTCATGATCATGGGCTCCAAAAATTAACATAATCTTCTTATTATTATCTGTAAGTGTCATGAATTATATGATTTCAATTAATAAACAATTCAAGAATAATAAAACATTAAAACATTTATATGTAATCATCAAAATAATTGTCATAGAAATCGAAACAAAAATTATCCCATGCATATAGTAATTTTACACACATAATATAAGTTTATGAAGGTATTTGTTGTGAAATTTATGGCAAATGCTCTTTTGGAGGTTGAAAGTAATTCAATACAGCCAAAAAAAAAAAGAACTTAGAACCAGCAGTGATAAAACATAAAACCAAACAAAATTTCAATAAATAAACGCGGATTATCCACTTACCGATCCACTGGCCTATTGAAGGATGGAAGAGGGCACCAATTCCTCCACCAATTGATGCAAAAAATAATGAAGAAGTAAACTTAATGGTTGAGCTGTAGATCTCTCTCCAAAATAATCTATTTTTTTCTGCTCTGTTTAGATTTTCACCATCATTATCTGGCTTACGGATGAAGTATCTGTAAAACGCCATTATAATCTGAACTATCCATGAAGCAATCACTCCAAGTGCATGGCCTGTTCACAGAAAAACAAAAATTAGTGGAGGCAATGACCTATATAACAGATCTACTAACTGTTATAACTGAAGTTTTTTACCTCTGAAGGTTGTTCTGCTGATGTTAAACAACAACAAATAAGCAGGCATGCCCCGTTTGGCCTTACGCTTTGCAGATTTAGAAACATCTGCAAAAACAGTAAATTAAGGCATGTTTTTGCTCAGAATTTATTGGCACTGAAGACTTACATGTAACATCACGATCTTGAAATTAGTATCATTTGAAGATCAAAGTATTCTAAGGCTAATAGATGCAATTAGTGTCATTTGCAGTGTCTAACATAGCTTTTTTATCAAAAATTTTGAAGTATAATGGAATTTGTAAATTAATAATATTTCTGAATCAATTTAACGTGATCATTGCCCCTTAAAATTTTAAAAATATTCATCAATTAAAGTTAACTGACAAGCAATATAGATAATTTCCATGAAATTTTCAAATTTTATACTCACATGAAATACGAAATGTACCATTTAAAATGAATAAATCCATGATTTGAGTATTGTTTTATCTTGTTCGTTTCTATTTAGCAGTTTTTTATATGTTAGCTATGTTGATGTGATGTTCCCTATTGAGAATAAGTGGTATTATATTTCTTTGTTTGGCAGTAGCAGATTTTTTTAATTTGTATCTTGTGTGAATGAGAAATTTGCAAGAATATATAATATTATGCTTGTAATTGTAGCTACGTAAAAAGCATGATTTTTTGCATAATATAATATGATTACTACAAAAAATTTTTGCCATAAGATAACTTAAAGATCACTAAAATATGATATTTATAAGAAAATCTAAGATTGAATGAGAGACATGTAACAATGAGTACTCATACCACAAAGAAAATTCACATTATAGTAGGGCTTGGTCATATCTCAATCACATGCAAATCAATTACTTAAAAAGAAAAAGAGAAATCACCAAAACATTCAAGTTGGCCTTAAGCACGTACAAGGAGAAAGCTTCCACCCAAAATTTTCATCTAGACTGCGTCACACTCAAAAAATACGCATCCAAAAAGCGCACACATATTCGAAAAGAACTCAAAATCTTACAAATCTTTCAATGAATTTTTACATGCCTCAGGATTCTTATCTATAAGACAAAACTAACGATAGATAGTTTTCTCAATATCCCAAGAATTTGGGCATAGATTTTGCTGTATACAAGCTCTTTTTTTTAGTTTTAGTCACATTTCAATCTGTGTGAAACTGACCTTTCTTAGCTTGATTAAGACAGTTCTCAAACCAAAATCCAAAAACTTAAACCAATCAAATGCAGTATTATTACCTTGCTCTTCACTCGTATCCTACTTATTGATGTCATCTATTTGAGTCAGCATTTAAATCTACAATTGCTCTTGTTAAAATCCTAACACCCCTGATCCCACGGCCAGGATAGGATGGAGATCCGTGGGAGGCTCATTTGGATCACGCCGATGTCCTTCCATATTTGAATGGCTAATTTAGGAAGGGTTAGACCAAGTTAGTTATGCATTATTATATAGTTATTTATTTCTTTATTAATACATTTTGTATAGATATATAAATAGGGATAGTTTTGTACAATAAATTAAAAAAAAAAAATTTCCCTCTCCAATTCTCTGAATTTAACAGCTCCCATAGTTCTTGTGTTTGAAGTTATATATAGAGTGTCATCTTACTTCCTCGTATTATAACCATAACACAATCAGTCACCTGTCAAGTGTAAGTACAAAAGGTCGAGATGTAAACTTCTTCACCCAACTTCTCAATTGACATCAGGTTCCTCTTCAAGCCAAGAATATCCATTAACCTATGAAACTTTCTACAATCTCATTTGCAGCCTTGATGAACATTACTACCTCCAACAACACTCAAGGGCTCCTTGTTAGCAAGCTAAACTTTATTAAAATCTCATGCATGATAGGTAAAGATAAATTCGTTAAAGGGAGTAAAGTAAGAAAACCTCCATATGTACAAGATTTAGGACTCCATAGGACTAATCGCAATAGGGGTTACTGCATCTGTGACATCTTCCATGGCATAAACTACAGATTCATCCATTTAATCTAGAATTTCTCCCCCATTCCTTTGTTGATAGACTATTTTCATAGGGCCAGCCTCTTGCAACATTTCCACCATACACCATTACGACCTTTAGGTGACTCCTCGTTTAAGAATTAAATCTGTCTTATTATTTACCCAAATTTAATTCTACCTCTAGTTTCAAAATTCGAAGCAACAAAAGGAAAGCCTAAACTAATTCTTGTTTCTGGACTTCCTCGTTAAAATCAAGTCATGAATATCATTAATTTCAAATTTGTAGGCCAAAGAGAACTGTCGACTGCTATCTCAATTCCACACCAACTAAATAGGTGATGAGAACAAGCTAAAAGGATGAACTTCATCGTCAACGTTGATTATAATCAAAATCAATTGACTAGTGAACAAAATGAATTAATTGATATGCTCTGCTAGCCTACATCACCTTCCATCATCCTAATATTAAAGAACTTTCTCATTAGATATATCCCGTCAAAAGCATGGACTAGCTAAACGGCAACATAATTGATTATAATACATTAGCAATCTTCTCCCCCAAGAATCATCTAGGTCTAACCTTCTCGGGGAGACTCTAGGCCGGTTTTGTGAATCCTCTCAAGAACTTTTTTCTTAATTACTATGAAATTTCTGAATCACTCTAGGACTTCGACTCAGTACAAAACTCGTACTTTATGCATTGATTTCCATACAATTAATTATTATTTTCACCAATCTCAATGATTTATCAAGGCTCTTCTGCATAGTCTACAGCAACACATTTAAAATTTCACTTGGCATATAGCGTGACAAATTATGCACGATATAAAATATTAGCTTCCCAATGCCATGTAGTACTTCAATTAGTTCAACCATTTAAATCAAGCAAGAAATATTGACCTTTATCATGTTCCACATATTGGTCGACTCAAATAACCACAATCATGGCTCGCATTAAGAGGTGAACTTGTGAAGCACCACCACATCAAGCCAAAGCGTGGGCTCAACATGGATAACCTTTCAAGAACCATTTCTTGAGATATGCTTTCTTCCTCCCAATACCAACACGTCTTTGTATTTTCTCTCAGGATTTTCTAGGGAATCAATTATTTAATCTTTGATCATAGTCTAGCACACAATTTTCTCACAAAAATACACCAAAACACTTCTTCCAAAGTGTCCAACACATTGAAACTTTAATAGTACTCCCAACAAGGATTCAAGAACCAAGAGAATTTTCACTACAATCATTTATTACATTATACGAGAAATCATCATTAAAGTGACAGCCACTGCACTTTTATATATTTTATTGTGTTAATAGGTTAGAGGACTCTGCAACTACCACATGTCATCCTCTATCACCGAGGATGATAAAATTTATAGTCCTTTTGGAAATTAGAGTAACCAAAGAAGAAAAATTTAAGAACATAGGATGAAGTTTATCCCTAAGATTAAAGTTTGGAGGGGGCATGGTAATAGCATATATTTCTCTCCTTAAATGGCCTTTTTTAGCAATTCGCCAATTCTAATACCCCTTTCACTTCTCTTCAGGCTTAAATTTAAAATCAACAAATCACTCACACCTCTTTTTTTCAACTTATATGAATCCTCTCCCTAGCTTGAAATCCCAAGCCTACTCTCTTCTAACCACAATAGTTCCTCCTCTGTATTATTAATATCCACCTTAAAAGAAGTCAAAGATACATCTCCAATAAAATAAGATTATTGTTCACTGAATTTTACATCCATGGACACAAAATTTACATGCAAAAGGATGATAACATTTATAGTACTTTTGACAATCAAAGAAACCAAGGAAGAGAAATTTATGGACACGAGATGACGAGATGAAGTTTATCCCTAAGATGAGAGTGCAAATGAACATAACACACACCCAAATACCCTAGAGCAAAGATTTAAGGCAAAATTAATAATATGCAATTTTGGCTACATCCTCAAAGGAGTTTTGATAGATGATGAAGCAAGCATGCATTCAGTTTATAAGAAAGATGATAGTCATGACTGTTTCAGCCCAAAAAAGCTTAGCAACAAGTATAGTAAAACATAAGGCCCAAGCCACCTGAAGTATGTGACAATTCTTACACTCTATTATGTCATTTTGTTGTGATGTATAGATGAATATTATTTGATAAAGGATGCCATCATCTTTAATTATATTAGTAACTAGTAAGTGATTGATTCAGAAGCTCACACCTATTGTAAAGAAGAAAAAGTTAGGATGAACAATGAAGTACAAAATTGTGTGGCAATCGTTTTTGAAAATTGAGGAATAACATGTATAACAACACTTATAGATTTCAACAAATATAATGATCAATAAAAGACTGAGTATTTATGACCAAATATAGAAGGAATAAAGAAAAGCCCCCAATTTTATTGAAGCTTATTTTAAAAGGATGTAAGCATTGTTCTAGCATAAATGCAATGTTCAAGTCTAAAACTAGAAACAAGAACATTCTAACACGACTGAGATAGGTGATCTAAATGAGAATGCCACAAAAGAATTTCTCCTTATCTGATGTCCCTATTGTTATTTAAAAATCACATCCACGCTCAAATTTCATCTCCATTTCCCCCTTCAAATAGTACAGACCTCCCCATTCCTTGCCAATACTAATCATCTTCTTCAGAAAATTGTCCTGAAACATACAATGAGCATAATGAAAGGTTCAAAACAACTATGATGTTAGGTGATACTAATCAGGGAAAGGAACCTATGGGAGAGATTTAAGTGCAAATAAAATAGAAGATGTGGGGATAACGGAGAAAGTAAGACATTGCTTTCCCAACATCAGCGTAGGGGTCTCATTAGCATCTAGAACAGACATAATAGGTGAAGGTATCAGAGAATCTAAAAAAGAATAATTACTAGTCATATGATCAATGGTCCCTAAATCAATAGCCATAGTGTTAGTGATAGTACAAATAAAGGCCACACCAAAATCACCTTCATAAGAAGATTCCAAGATACATGAGAAGCAAAAATGGAGAGATGTCAGAAAGAACGATCTGAACAAATTTCTTTATTTTCCTTTCACCTTGCTCAAGTTTGAACCACCCCGGATGGCCATGCATCTTCTAGCAA